TCAATCACAACATAACCTGGCAACTGTGCTCCTTCGTCTGTAGCTCTTGGAGCAGAGATCAAAGATCCCCAAGCTTTGGGAGAGCCCTGCCCAGCTGAGATCAACAGCCACACAGTAAAGCAGCTGCCACTGAACCAGCTACTGTGCACTTGGGTGACTTTAAGGACAGGGAGACAAATACCTGGTCTTAGGAGAAGAGACCTGAGCTGGGGACATCTCATCCCTCCGGGCCACCTACTCCTCACCCCCAGTTCCCTGGAACCTCTCCTCTGCCTGTGACCTCCTCTGCCCCTGGGCTCTCCTGTTAGACTTGGTGCAGAGAGACAGGGCCTCTCTCCTTGCCCAGCTCAGAAAGGAGCTCAGCTGGGCCGGGGATTTAGCTCAGTCCTGCCTCCCAAGTGCAAGGACCTGAGTTCGATCCCCAGTACCAAAAAAAAAAAAGTCATTTGTTTTAGGGCCAGGGATTTAGCTCAGTGGTTTCACCGCCTGCTGCACAAGCGCAAGGACTGGAATTCAATCCCCCGTACCAAAAAAAAAAAAAAGAAAGGAGCTCAGGGGACCAGCAAGTGGAGCTGTCAGCATTAGGCACCATGGCAACCAGGAAAGGGAGATGCAATCACAGCTAGAAAATTCCCCAAATCCAAGCCAGGTTTAGTGTCCTGAAAGCTTCTTTCTCTTATTTCCAGGAGTGAACCTTGGTGCTATTGGCAGATGGTGCCAAAAGAGGCCTTTGTGCTGAATCTCAAACTACCTCCCTCCTAGGACTATGGCCTTTACTTCACTCTAAAAAGTGCCTCTGAACAGATGGCACAGTTTTTTGAGAGCAGATCATTAAGGACTAGGGATATGAAGGGCTCCCGCTCAATCCAGCCTTTGCCCTCCGAACATAGCCAGGGACACTGCTAGGAAACAGAGTCAATGGGTCTGTGGCTTACATGCTCTCTGGCACTTTTCTAAGACAGCACACACCAGAGGATCCTGAAGTTTATTCGAGCAGTGTCCCATGTCATCATTCCCCACAGCTCCTCTTTTGGGCCCCAGGCACATGCACTGGGCCCTGGAAGACAGCCGCAGAACCTGGTGATTGCCTGGGGTCCTGTGACATTTCTTCACAGTACATCCTCTTGAAGGCACAGGGATTCTGTCCTAGAAAGCTGTTTTCTTAGAAAAATTCTACTCCACAGTGTGAAAACTGAAGTGAGCTGTCCTTCTAGTTTTAATTGGAGCTAGGACCTCTCTGTACCTGAAGGATGCCTGTACCAGGGAAGGAGTCTAAATTCCCCCCGGCTCAGAAAGGTCAGTCTCTAAGAGGTGACCTTGAACTGGAGGAACAGCTGGAGCCTGCACTCTCCCAGCTGCAAGGACAGAGGTGTCTGGGTGCAGCCTGGTGTCTTGTTGGCCCTGCATGGCATGGAATTCTGGCTTCTGCCACTCCCTGGACTCACATCCTTTATTCATTGATTGTTTTTTTTATAAATCCATTTATATCATGTTATGGCAAAACTGATCAAAGTGTAGGCTAAAGAGTAGCAAATGATATTGAATGTTACAGAAAAATTTCAAAAGCCATGCTACCATATTAAAATATATACAAAGTATAGAAATAAAGATATGGAAGAACAATCTTAAATGTCCATACAGAGAGAAAATTAAAGAAACAGTTTGCACTCATTTTAGAGTTTGAGGAACTTCATTGATTCTAGTCATTTTGCAATTTACAAATTAATTTTTATTAAAAAACCCTAAAACATTAGTTTATTTGTGATGATCTCACCACCAGCTTCAAGCACAGGAACAACAGCTTTGTGAAATAATTACAATTTTTCTTTACAGGAAAGCGAAGACGCAAAGAGGCTAAGGGAAGAACAACCTCCACAGTATGTCTAAGAAAGCCAAAAAACCCGCACTTGTTGCTAAGTCTTCCATCTTGCTAGATGTGAAACCTTGGGATGATGAGACAGATCTGATAAAATTAGAGGAGTGCGTCCACAGCATTCAAGCAGAGTGCTTGGTCTGGGGCTCCTCTAAACTAGTTCCAGTGGGATATGGAATTAACAACCTGCAAATAAGTGTATAGTTGAAGATGATAAAGTTGGAACAGATATGCTGGAGGAGCAGATCATTGCCTTTGAGGACTATGTGCAGTCCATGGACATGGCTGCTTTTAACAAGATCTAAGATTCATCCTGGATCATTACACTTCAATAAAAGCTTGAAGAACAACAAAAACAAAACAAATAAACTTTTTGTTATTTTAAATTTTTTTTAAATTAGTTGAAAACCTCATCCTACATTGGGCATGGTGGGGCATGCCTATAATCCCTGTACTTGAGAGGCTAAAGCAGGAGGACTGCTGGGAGTTCAAGGCCAGCCTAGGAGTGTGAGTTCAATGCCAGTCTGAACTACATAATGAGACCCTGTCTCAGTAAAACAAGAATAAATAATAAATAAAACCTCATCAGAGATATGGAGAGCAATTTTGTAACTTTTCTGAGAGACTATGGAAGAAATCCTGCCTAGTCCTGTCTGCTCCAGTACCTATGCAATTATAAGCAAAAAAGTTAGATATTTTTTCTCTCCGTTTTTATGTTTTATTGTGACATCACATAATCTTTCATTTTTTTGACTCTCTGAATCAATCTTTACAAGAACGTCAGCACCTTGATAAAAGTGGTGAAAATTCATGAAAATATGGAAGAAATGTTTCCAAACTGTAGACACTGAAACCTAAATCTACTTCCATATATGACTGAAGAGTGTTCTGACATGTACTTTGTTCTAAAGGAGTGTATTAGATATACATGGGAATTTTGCCTCAGTATTTATTATGTGTATAATAAAAACTCAAAAGTAATCACAAAGGTCCTTAGAGAACCACAAAAGGTCTTTTTTTAGAAATGATTAATTTCCTTTTCCTTTTTTTTCCCGTAATGTTTATTCTTTTCTTTTTTTGATATACTGGGAATTGAGCCCAGGGCATCACACTTAGCTACATTACCAGCTCTTTTTTAATCGTTTCATCTTGAGAGGCTGTCTACCTCATGCAGCCTAGGGTGGGCTTGAATTTGTGAACTTTCTGCCCCACCATCCACAGTGTGTGGCCAACAAGCACAAGAGACCACAAGTGTCCTTTTACCTTCTTTATACTGGGGATTGAACACACAACCTCACATGTGTTAGACATGCACTCTAATATTGATCTATATTCCCAGACATTTAAAAAATATCTTTTGATACAGTGTCTCACTTAATTTCTCAGATTAACATTCATCTTTTAGCTTTAGCCTCTGGAGTAGCTGGGATTACAGGTGTGTGAAATGAAATTTATAACCTTGTTATGGAACATTTAATAGAATATCAGCAATGGCTTTTTGAAAATCTGTTTAGTGAGATAGATTCTCATATCACCAAAATCACTTTTTTAAAGTATTCAGTGATTTTTAAGTATATTGAGAATTGTACAACAATCATCATTCTCTCTCCTAAGACATTTTCATCACTCCAAAAATCACTCTCAATACCCATTCATGTTTACCTTCCAGCAATCCTCCCCCATCCCCTGGCCACTCTCAGTCTACTTTTGGGTTCCTTCAACTTGGGCATCACCAATACGCTGGACAGCGTGAACTTGCATGAAGGAGCACAAGGTCTGTAGAAGTGGATTTTAAATGCACATTTGAAAGCATAGCACAGTTATCTTTAGACCAGAGTTACCATAGTGTATTTCCTAATGTGTCTGGGATGCAGGTACTCCTGATACTAGGGATGTAGTTGAAAAGCACTGTGCTTAGAAGTATTTCACTTTTAGAGACACTCAAGAAACCTAGTTAGGGGAGAGTGAGATGGGCAAGTGCTCGGGGGGAAAAGACCCTTTCTGACTTGGGGAAATGTGGCAGTTGTCTTGTGCGGTTGTTAATTTTGACTGTCAACTTGACTGGACTGAAAGACTTCTTAAATTTTTTCAAAGATCCCTATAGAAACTGAAGAACTAAAAATACCTGGAAGTACTTTACTTTATTGCCTGGGTTCCCAGTCAGTTCCATACAATCCTCCAATTTACAGGAAACACTGACTTTGACCTTAGAACAGTTTTAAATGTCTTCAGTAAAATATGATAAATGTCAGTAACGGACTTTGATGAAATTGTTTATAGTTTCTCTTTTTGCCTATTAATCATGTCATGTTATTTTTAAGTGCAACACTTCAACTTTTCATGATACCTACAAGAGAAGTTTCTGGGCAGCTCTAGAAGGTGGTGTGCAGCAAGCTTTCCCAGTTAAGACCACAGCACCTCTCGGCCATGGAGGGAGGCCCTCGCTGGGGGGCGCTCTTCACTGCTGCTGTACACAGCCCTCTGTGCTGTGGCCTCTCCTCCTATCCTTCATCTGTACAGAGAATTCTCTTTACCTGCTAGCAGACAATACTTCACTGCTGTATTAACTTTGTGTTAACTTTCTCTGTTCACATTGATTTTTTCTCTTTCTTGGTGGCTCTTGACTGATAAGGGTGACTGTCATGCACAGGAATGCTTGGTATGACAGAATATGATACATGGATGAACCCTCAAATGTGAATGGAAAAACAAGCATCAGGAAAAATGCAAGTAGTATGACTTTAATTATAAAATGTTACAATATGTACAAAGCCAAAACATGTAAGGGATACAGTCACATGTGATAAAAATCATAAAAACTAGAAAGAAATACAAAATTATAAAAAGTGACTATTTCTGGCATAAACAGCACACTGGTGGTCAGTAGCACATGAAGATCCAAAATAACTGAAAACAGTCCTTTCTCAATAGGGTTATTCAGTTTAGAAGTATTTATTTTACACTACACATTTATGTTATATATTCTTTTTGTTTGTTTGTTTGTTGGAGACCGTGTCTCACTATGCAGTTCAGGCTGGCCTTGAACTCATGGTAATCCTCCTGCCTCAGTCTCCGGAGTGCTGGGATTACAGGTGTGTGCACCATACCTGGCTAGATGGTTCTAAAAAAATGAAAGGGATCAAGAGATGACTGGAGGGGATAGGGAAGGAAGGGAAAGGAGATGAAAAAAGGAATTAAGATGTGTTATGTACATGCATCAACTCCACATAAGGAATGGAAACATTATGTACTACATACATGTACAAAGAAATAAAATAAAATAAACAAATAACAAAAAAACCAATTACTTTTACAATACAAAGTGGCTACATTTACTAGAAGTGGATTTAGCTCACAACTTCCCAAAAAATGTGGTAGGGCGAGATCTTCCCAGGCTGGGGTGGCCAGGAAGGCCTTGGTCTCTAGGAGGCGCTGTCCTGTGCCCTGCCCCACTGTGCTGCAGAATGGGGGCTTTGCTACATGTTCAATGACATGCTTAGATCTGGAAGTGCTGTATTAGACTTGATGTTGATAGTGCTAGATAAGTGTTACTATATTAAGATGTTCTTCTTAGTTGTAGCATTTAGTTCAACTTTTCAACTTCAGAATAACATTCAATAATTATAAAATAAAAATTGTCCATTTTTCTTTCTTGGTTCACAATGAGAAGAAAAAGTATATGTATACACATACATACTTATACTCACATATATACCTAGAATCTCACACTTTTATTTTTCAGTGTATCATAGCAGTTCAACAGGACCTTTTTTCAGTTCCCTCCTAGGCTACTTCTGTCAATGTCCCTGCTGCAGCCTGCACTGTGAAGGCTGCAACAGAAATCTGCCTCTTCACTTCTTCCCAGGCCTTGGATGGGTCTGCTTTGCTTTTAATATCAAAGAGAGCATCATAAATTCCTGGGAATGACTCCCCTACATACTTATTGTGGCTGCTTGGGGCATAGATGATGTGCCTGTTAATAAAACAGTTTTCTATTAATTAGCTGCATGAACAATATACAAGATAAAAACAAGAGCACTCTGCAGTCCTGGATAGCACATTCATAATTTATGACCTGAATAATCCACTTGTCAATTGAACTTACAAATTCAATAGTCTCCAAAAACTGGTCTGTGATATCCCAGTATGTATTATATTTTTACATTAAACAAATAATTCAAAGTGATTCAGAGATATAATGCTAACAATGACAGTGAGAGCTGTTTACCTAGTACTGATCATGCATGATGTTAAAAGATTAACTTATTTAAAAAGAAAAGAATTATAAAAATTGTAAATCTTAATCTTTGCTTTTTTTGTGTGGTACTGGAGATTAAACACAGGTTTGGGTATGCTGGCCAAGAATTCTACCACTGAGCTGCATCCCAAGCCACATTTTTTTTTGGTACCGGGGATCAAACTCGGGTCCTTCTGCTTGCGAGGCAGGCGGCGGAACCACTGAGCTAAATCCCTGGAGCCCCGAGCCACATTCTTAAAAAATTCTTAATAAATTTTACAAAGTTAATATTGGTACTTCACAAGGGAGGAAACTGAGGTCTGAGAGCTTAAATGATTAAATTATTTGCTGCAATAAGCACTGCAAGTGTTCACTTCACCTGCCCCTTAATTACACCACTGTGATCATTAAGTCCTGTTGCAGCCAACCCACTTACTACTGAATTTTATCTCCTTTTTGAAAAAGGTATATTATTATGTTACAATGCTTTGCTGAAAGCACAAAGAATCATTAAAAACAAATTTGTAGGGGCCAGGGATTTAGTTCAGTGGTTCCGCTGCCTGCCTCGCAAACGCAAGGTCCCAAGTTTGATCCCCGGTACCAAACAAAAAAACAAAACCAAAAATCAAATTTGTAACATTCCACATGATTTAGGTAGAAGACTGCTTTATTGAAGGGGCAAGGCAGTTCAGTGTACCAGCCCTGGAAGAGGACAAGTATCCAAGTAAAGTGGTGAACAAGTACAGAGCACAGAAATGCTGCTGTTAGCAAATCAGTCACCCTGTCAGCAAATCAGTCACCCCCAATGCAGCCTTTAGGTGCTTCCCACACAGAAAGACAGGGCTGTTTGATGCTCTAACTCATTTTTCAAAACTTGGTACAATCTGTCAGATATAAGCATGCTTGTAAAAATTTAGGGGGAAAAACCTTACATTTCAGCATCACAGGATTACATTACATATATAAATAAATATATATTTCATATTACACATATCCATATATAGATTTATTATATTTACAAATAAACATAAATATGTTTAAAATAGGAGAAGGATAATGCTAAAATATAAAAATGATTTAGCACTTGGCTGATGGGATTGGGGAAATTTTTGTTTCCTGCTGAGTCTTTTTGACTCTTCTAAATTTCCTAAAAAAATTCTTTTGTAATCAGAGATGAAAAAAAAATACTAGAATGATATGTATAGATCATATTACATGATATAAAATATATTTATAATTTATTAGATTTAGTTTTAAATTTTCTGTTTGGGTGAAGGAAATCAACGATGGTATATCTTCCACAGTACAAAAACATTTTAAAATAAAACTAGAATAAACAGTCCTATTTTTCCTTACCTATAGAAAGGCCTCTGTGGTAACCCTAAAGGATCAATAAATGCTCGTTCCAGAAACATCAGTTGATCATTCATAATTCTTAATAATATTGGGCTAAAAAGGAAATAAATATAATGATTATAACTTCATGAGAATTTATGTATTACCCAGAAAATTTAAAAATCAGCAAAAATAACAATAACAATAGCATATATAATTATCCTATTTTATTTTATGTATTGCTTTTGTTTGGTACTGGGGATCAAACTCGGGTCCTTGCTCTTGCGCAGCGGGCGGCAAAACCACTGAGCTAAATCCCCGGCCCTAATTATCGTATTTTAAAAATCCTATAAAATACTATTCTCACAGACTTATGAAACACTGACCTGGCAGTGGAAAATATAGTGCATTTTATGTATACTGAAATAATAATTGATAAACCCAGGTACATAAGAGATTCTAATAATCTCATAGGCAATATTAATACTGAAATGAGCTAATCCCATTAGAGATATTATGTTAGGTTCCTGAAAAGTTATAAATATTTACCAAATGACAAACAGTAATATTCGTCTTCTTAAATATAAGCCTGCCATGAACATAAGCTATAGCATTAGCTTGATCCTTTCAACAATATTCAAGTATCCAAACATTCCCACAGAGCTCACTCCCAATTCCGAAGGCTGATGGTGAAGTTATTATACTAAAAATGACTCAATATAATTGAAATATTATCACCCGACCTTTGTCAACAATGAGTTATTGAATTCAGTACATTAACTCTGCATACTTAATGAGAAATAATCATTAAGGAATATTTTTAACCATTACTTAGATCTTAATTTTGTATTAATTTTAGTAATAGCTCATAGTGGTCACCTACCGTTCCTAAGGTTTACACAATGCATTATTTTTAATCTTCAGAACAATCCTACAGGTTGAACAGGGCAATAGCTCCACTTCATAAATAACAAAGGATGAGTTGTTAATCAACTTGCCCAAGGTCACAAACATAAGGTCTTAGAGTAAATGAAGTACATATTCTCCTTTTAATTGCACTATGTTGACAAAAGGAAAATAGAAATAACTAAAGACCTCACAATTTATACTTGAGCTATGTATATTCTTTCTTTTTCTGTCAAGACAGAGTCTCTTTATGTATTCCAGGGTGGCCTTGCCACAGTGCTCCTCCTGGCTCAGCCTCTCAAGTAAGCTATTTTTAACAGTTAGTTATTTAACATCATTTACCAGTTTAGGTAATTGTATGAAAGAGGCATAGACTGTTAGCAGCTCCTATAAGCAAAGAGATAATTGAATGGAAGATAATTTCAGTAAGTAGCTATTGGCTTCTGAATCAAATTTCTGAAGTATTGCTACATAACAAGAATTCTCATGGACACGCCTACATAGAAATGCACAAACACATAAACACACACATCTGTCCCTCTCTCTTTTCCCCTCCTCCTATCCTCTTTTCTCCCTCACTCCTTCACATTTCTCTGTCTCTGCCTCTCTGGCTCTCTTGCTGGACTTTGGATCCTGTGGCTACCATTTAAAAACCCTCCTATGTTCCTTGTATGGAGCAGAGTGCAATTTGAACTACACCACGGAGGTAAATGCTCAGAGACAGAACAGGAGGGCTGACCTTCCCCCAGAGGTACTTTTACTTCTCTTTGTTTAGACAGCCCAAGCTGCCTGGGGCCAGTGGGAGCCTCATGCTCTCTCCAGGTCTGACAGCTGGGCTACAGCCTCTGCTGCCCTGGAAGAGCCATCAAGAGTGGAGTTCCGCTGGACACAGACCTGGCTGGATCGCAGGTCACAACCCTCACCCTGACAAACCATGCCTGGCAGAGCTCTAACTGGCTGCCAGTGGAAGCCTTGGGAAGTCTTGGGGGATCTGGGCTTTTATGGTTACCATAGCAATCACAGATCTTGTAGCAGCTTGTACCAGACTGACATCTCCTTAGTATTGCCACATTTTCCTTAGTGTTGCCTTTGTACCTTTAAAATTATGCTCAAATTATAGTTTATATTTATGATCTTATACAGAATCAATCCTAAATGTTTAACTTCCAAAGTCAATGGCTTCACAATATTTGCTATTCTGGATAAGTCAAATTTTGCCAGGTGGGGGCAGAAATGAGGACAGTACAGTGGTATCTAGGTTCACGAACTTCAGTCTTTCCACCATTCTGGTCACAAACCGAATTTGACAAGAATCAAATCAAATCCAATGGTTAGGTTCAATGTTGACCTTATGGGGAAATTTGATTTGGTTCTCTTTCAATCTCATTTGGGAGCAGAATCATGGAAAGAATTAAGTTCGTGAACTGAGGCGCCACTGTATTTCCATGTGGAAGTAATGACTTCAAGAAGAGGTAGAAAAAGCTATGCTCTAGGAATAAGATTATGTGAGCTGTGATGTACAGACAGTGAAAGAGCAAGAAATAAAAGTGGAAAAAGCCAGGGTCACAGAGCAGAGAACAATCCTGGCTAAGATGTGGATGCTGCAACTCCTCCGTTGGCTGTGAGGGGGCGCTGCATCTCTGAGTAGCAGGGCAGCACTCAGAGTTTAGATCCAGGTCTTGGAGAGAAAGAAGGGCAACCTCCTATAGGGTGCGTCCGGGTAGAGGAAGACAGAAAACAGCAACAACTTGTTTGAGGACATTTTGGTAACAGAGATGTCAATTCGTATTTCCTTTTAATTATATCTGTTATAGACATAAAGAAACACAGAACATACTTGCTTTTGTCTAAGTCTTGAAGTCTCTTGCTGAACTTAGAAGCTATTTCTGTAAAATTATGTACTGCAGAAAACAATGAGTCTGAAATAGAAATTGGAATCATCAAAAACTAAAAACATAATTTCTAATAGTATTCTATAGTTTTAAAATCAGAATAAAGAAAGCATATTCTTTTGTGTTTTACAAAGCATTATATATTAGTATCTATGAAATGGAAAATATATTCATAGAGAGAAACAGATTATTTGGTCACCCAGAATAGCTGTAAATAACATGTGACCTAATGTATGCCATTGTATTTTAGAAATTAATGGGAACATACAAATAATGAATTTGCAAAGAGGAAGTGTAACATACCAAATGATACTCTGTATCTTTCCATTTCCTGTGGGTACTTCATTGAAATATTATAGATTTTATCAGCATACTTCTTTAAAACTACAGCACAATCCTGACAGCTGAAAGGGAGCACCATGGAACTGGCCAATTCAAACACCATCCCTCCTCGAACCTGGGCCACAGCAAGGTGATATTTAAATGTTGGATCATAAAATTTTTCCACCAACTCATAAGTTTCATAGACACTATGATATAGTGGGTCATTGCTGAATTTGTTTGTTTCCTACAAAAAAACAAAACAAAACATATCTTTCATAAAACAGCTTATAACAAAATGCCTAGCACTGTATTTACTATCAATATTAGTAAGAATGTTTGATCAGTGATGAATAAAGATAAAACACTTGAGCACTTCAATAAGCTACGTAGTAAAGGGCTAACGTTATAGTACTTTAGTATATTACAGGGTTGTACCAAGTAACATATATATCTATATGATATAAACAATACTATTAAAACATTATTTTGGAGAGACCTAACTGACTTCCCTTTCAGAATATGAGAGATAGCCATGTGCAGTGGCATACACCTATACTCCTAGCACCCTGGGAAGCTGAGGCAGGGAAATCACAAGTCCAAGCCCAGAGTGCACAACAACTCTTGTCTCAAAACAAAAAACTATTGAAAGGGCTGAGGATGTATCTCAGTGTAAAGGCTCTGGGTTCAATTCCCAAATACCACACACACACAAACACACACAAAGAATTTGAGAGATGTGAAAATATTTTAGAAGTCTGAAAAAAGACATGACAATGCTGCATTTGCATAAAAATTATTTTAAAGATCCAGAGAATTCTCAGGGGTGAGTCAGTAAGCATTATACAATATTGTGTAGGAAAGTATGCCAAATTATTTAATAATGGAAATTCTGTAGATTGATTTTCTGACCAACAGTGCACTGAGAGAATCGCAGCTGTTAGGGGTTCAGTAGTGAATTCAAACTCTCACCAAGGAGACAGAAGGGGGTGTTCATACAAGTATAAGGAAAACCAACAACATACATAAAAGTTGGGTGAAATCAAACTATACATTGCTAAATTGTGCCTTTTGATAATTTTTCAACGTGCTTATTTTTGTAATTGATACAAAAGAACACTTCTTTATGTACTAGTTTGTTGAAGAGGCATATTCTAGCATTAGCCATGTTTTGAATCCAGGTTTTGGGATTTATTACCAGAACTGGTGGTGGGGTCACTTGATCTTTCTTTGCTGTAATTTTATCATTAGGAAAATGTAGATAATATTAATATCTATTCTTATCATCACTCCACACAATCCTGCCTAACATCCTACCCCAAGAGCTGGAGATTAAATACTTCCTGTCTTTAAGACAGGAGAAGAATAACTAGTCCAAAGAAAAGACCTGCAGGTACTTAATATTGGCTGTCAATTCCCAATTTTCTTTGAGGATGTGAGCTCAGTGGAAATTTGCAAAGGGCTCATTCTCATTCCCCTATTGCAATATATTTAGGTGCAACAGTCTTGAATAAAATCTCCCTCTTATTTTAACAAGTAGCAGAATACTTTCTCATTAACACAAAATGAAATATAAAAAGTAATAGTATAAGCTACTGTTTATAACATGGAGGTAGGTAGGTAGGTATTAGAAAAAACAAAAACTGAAAGACTGCATTTGATGAACAGAGATCAAGTGTGTGGTGAGCATTGAAATGAGATAAAACACTGTTTTTCTATATAAGCTCCTATAGAATTAGGAGATTTTATAAACCATGTATTTATTTTACTTTAATGAAAATGAAAACTAAAACCAAACACAAACACATCAACAAAAAAACCAACCCACCATTTTTACGTGTTCCCTGTGTATTGTTTCATTTGTTGTTTAAATATTTGTTACTGTTTTAACGAATGGACCCATAATAAGAGATAAACATCCAAATATTTTCAGGTCTTGTTTGGGTTGATTCTGAATGATAACAAGAGAAAAATTAAAAACAATTCTAAATTAAATGACTGAATGTAGTGTTACCAAATAATGCAGAAACAACATAAAGAAGTTGAAGCTTGGGCCGGGGAGGTAGCTCAGTAGTGCCATGCCTGCCTGGCAAGCACAAAGTCCTGAGTTTGATCCCCAGTACCACAAGAAAACAAAGACAAACAAAGAAAAAAACCAAACTGAAGTTGAAACTTGTAAACAGAAGTATTGGTGACAAGTGGAACTTAAATATGATGCTTAAGACACCATATAAAGGAACTATCCCATGTAGTATTAGCCACAAGACATCTCCCTTCTGCTTTCAAATTTCTCTATTCTGCTAATGCATGAGCCACTTTTCACAGTAAAAGTCATTTATACAGTTAAAATACATTCATAGCTTTGAAGAATTTATTGAAATAAACTCACCCAATTTTTAGTATACCGTGCTCTGCCTGAAGCAATCCCAAGTCTTTGGAAGAACACTTCAAAATCATTACCAGACCCCAACTTGCTAATCCTTAAGGGATAAAAGAACAGAATTATTTCAGAATAAGTTTTTCATCAAATATAGACTAAAGATCTCACAAAATATTCACTTCTATAAGAATATTCTGTGGGGTGACTATTTTAAGTCCTATTTTTAAGAATGGTCTTGAAGTTGGAAAATGTTTTCCTTCAGATTAGCTCATTCTATGTATCATTTATCTTTGCTATATGTTATAAAGTGAAAAGAAGCAAGCTTCTTTCAAATAATTCAGACGGAAATTCTGTTAAATCATTCAAATTACTCATACTGTTGGTAATTACATTTACAAACTACTGATATCTGTGCCTTTTCTTTTGCTGAAGTGATGCTCATATTTTTATTAGAACAACCAAAATATTTTAACTTAAATGTTAAGAAAAAAAGAGTGATAACAGAGGGACAAGATAACAGAAATATAAGGGGAATTATCATTATCTACATTAAAAGATTTTTTAATTGCACAAGAATGAGCAAAAAATAATGTGCTTAAATAGAAATTTATTACTATAAAAGACACATTGTCATTAATACCCCTCACAATAGTCCCCCTCCCTCAGAACATTCTTATCCCATTAATCCATCATTTTTGCCACTTTTCAAAGTAGTTCTGGGAGGCCTCTTTCAAGAGTGTTTTTACAAGATGTGACAAAAAACAAAGTGAATGCTGCTGCTGAGTAACATCCAAAAGACATGCAGGCTCTTAAAAACATTAGTGTCTCCTCATCCACCTTACTCACCAGGCAAATTCTGGCTTTTCCCTGAAGTTAAAATGACCATGAAAGGTAAACATTTTCAACTGATTCAAGACATCAAGGCAGCCACAACTGTACATCTGAAGATAATCATTGTTGAGGACCAAGCTATATGAAGAATTATTGGGGGACAGATTGTGTCCCATGGTCTTGAGACCAATGTGATCAACCTTGGGAAATAGAAAAGACTACGGAAAGCTGTGTGCTTTCTGGCTGTGTGGGAATGCTAATGATCAGTACTCCTATGGAAGGATAACATCTGTTGAGGACAATATAAAGAATGCTAGTTCCTTATTAACTTGGGCAGGCATCCGGGTACAGGGAAGAACCTGTTCCCTTTCACACACTCCCCTAATAATATTTAATCTGTTCCCTATTTTTCAAAGTATCTTTTCAAGCATTTTTGTTCCTTGAATGACACATGACCTGCTTCCCCCTATGCCTCTTGCTGGCTAAAAAAGCATGTCAATCATGGAGATTGTTGAGTCTATCTGCTAGAGGCAGGCTTCACTTGGTTCGCTTGCACCTTGAATATTTTGTTTCTCCTTTTCCCTGTCATACCCCACTCACAGGTATCTTATGGTCTGATCAGCCCACAGAAACTGGTGCCTAAACAGGAGACTTGAGATTTGGAGAGGAAGACCCACCTGAGTGGGACAGAATGACACAGTTGTAGGGAAATGCTTCAGGATGATTTTGGAGATGGCTATACAAAAGTGAAAGCAAGCGCCAAGGATTTAGCTTAGTGGCACCATCCTGCCTCACAAGCGCAAGGTCCTGAGATCAATCTCTGGTACTAGAAAAAAAAAAAAAAAAAGTGAAAGTAAGCACTAGTGCCATGGAAAAGTTTTCTTAACTGGGATGATGGGGCAGAATTTGTCAGTAGAGTAGCAAAGGTATGTGCAGTTACTAAAGATGCTATTAAAACAGGCCGGGGCAGTCTGGGGATTTAGCTCAGTGGTTTCGCCGCCTGCTGCACAAGCGCAAGGACCCGAGTTTCATCCCCGGTACCAAAAAAACCCAAAAAAACAGGCCAGGGCTCAGGTTAACACCCACATGCAGGTTGGAAAGGATTAAAATTTAAAAAAATACATGAGTACATGTAAATAAATGGATTATTAATAAATTAAATTATTAATATTAACTAATAAATAGTTATTAACTAGTTAACAACTAGGCTCACCTTAATACTGTTTTTGCATTTACAGGAGTAAAGGGTTTTTCAGTCCTTCTGATTCTAATTACAAGATATCTCTGTTAATTGACTACAAAATGTTCTGACTAGTCTTATTTATAGTTACTAGCCTAAAAAGTATAAAAGCATTATTATAATTCAACTTGGCCAAATATACCTGAGTATACTCTGGTTTTATAAACAAAGTATCTTATATGTGTGTCTGCCTATCTGTCTGTCCAATCTTACAGATGTTTTGTTTGAGCTCAACAACATTTTTTCTCCATTTTTTCACCTTTTTGGGTTTTTTAAATATTTGCCTATAACTTAAGTTGGCTTATAGATAAATGTCATTAAAATTAAAGACATGCTTCCCTCCCCCACATTGCCAGCTGATCAAAATGATGTCAAGACTGGTTTTACAAATACAATGCATGTTGTTGTCTGCATAATAACTCATAAATATTTCATTGGTCAAAAATAATGTGTTAATTGTTATGATCTGGTTCTCATAGGTCATCTAAAATTTGTTAAGATAATTAAATGGGGATCCTTAGGCTTGGGGGAGACTGCTAGGCAGAACTCCACTTGGTGAATAAAGGAGCAGCTACATGGAAATATTTTCTAGACTATTCACTAGGGATACCCCAGTGGTTTCCATAACCTTGTGGGAGACATACCCCAATATGTACTGCTAAACATTATTGAGATATGTTTACATTGGTCATTGTCAAAAGGTTAAATTTTCTGTAGAAAAAAATAATAAGGTTTTATTAAAAAGATGCTCTTGGTACAAAACTAAAAGATAAAGAGATTCATATAGCTGTGATACTCATTATTGGTAATTTCTTGGTGTACTAAATGTATTCATGCTTCCTGGGTATACAGGTTATGGTGATAACCTTTTTCAGACTCAGATACTCAGATACTCAGTTTTACCTCAGAGAGTGATAAACAGTCCCACTTTGTGTCAGCATTTAGTAAGCCAAGCCTTACAATTTGCCTGAAAAAAATATCAAGCTTGTATCATTCATTATATGGATGACATTTTGTTGGCCATGACTACAAGGCTACAGCTACATCCTTTATTTGCTACAGTAAAGAGGGACCTTAATTATGGCCTTTGCATAGCTCCTGACAAGGTACAAACCTCTATTTCTATTTAGGCACTTTGCTTATAGAATGGGCAGTAAGACCTCAAAAAATAAAAATAAGATGGTATTGTTTATTGACCTTAAATAATTTTCAAAAATTATTAGGAGATATTAATTAGATTTGGCCAAAATTGGGTATTGCCACATATCAATTAAAACACCTCTATAATACACTTCAAGGTGACTTTCAGATTAATTTTCCTCAATAATTAACCCCTGAGGCACTGGAGGAAAAATTAGTAGAAAAAAATTCTATGAGTGGCAAGTGTATCAGGTCAATAATAACCAACCTCTCATTCTATGTATTTTAAGTACTCCTCACTTCCCTACTGGGCTTTTAGGACAATTTTATGATTCCCAATTATTCCCTATTGAATTGCTGTACCTTCCTAATCAAATAGTATAAACTTTACAGGTGTACACTAAATAAATAGCAAAAATTTTAGTGGCTGGCAGAACTCATTGTAATCAGCTATTTGGCAATGATCCATCTTCTACTATTTTACCCTTAGAACCACCTCAATATTCAACCTTGTTACAACAACCCACTTATTGGCAAAGATGCTTTCATAGCATTTATAAGTTAAATTGTTAGTCATTTTCCCAGTGACCCCATCTTACTATTCTTTCTCAGACATCCATGCATAATTCCTCAGGTTACATGATTAGATCCTATTCCTGATATACAGACTTATTTTACAGATAGCTCCTCCGAGGGAAAGGCAGACATCTAGAGTGTTTTTCAACATATTATTTTAACCTCTGGGCTTTTAGCCCAGAAATAACTGCTATTGTATATATCATAGAACTTACTAAGTTGATACCAATAAATATTATCAGTGACTCAGCCTATGTGGTGTTTCTTACCCAAAAAGAAAGTAGAAAGCACTACTTTAAAAGCAGTGCTTTTTAAAGTAGAAAGCACTACTTTAAAAGCCACCCTGGATTTCCCTTTAGTTAATTTGTTTCTTAGATTGCAACGGGCAATCCAGAATCACTCTGTTCCCTTTCATATTGGACATATTAGGTCCTATTCTAATTTCCTGGGACCCTTAGTCTACAGTAATCAACAAGCTAATTCTTTGGTGGCTTATGTTGCTCCCTTTTATTTGGTGAGACAATCCCACCCATATCACCATCAAAATAGTAGGGCCCTAACAAAAGAGTCAATTGTATCATTTGCAAGCTAAAAAAATTGTTTTATCATGTCCTACATGCCAACACATCCTTTGCCCTACTCCTGCTCAGGGATGCAACCCTCAAGGCCTTCAACAAAATGAAATTCGGCAAGTGGAAATTACTCATATTCCATCATTTGGATGATTACAATATGTCCATGTACATCTTTATAGATCCATGCTACCTATCATAGAGGTGAAAAAGTGGGACATGTTCAACTTCGTTTGTCTGCCTTCACTGCTATGGGAGTCCTACACACAATTAAAACATAATTGTTCTTCATATGTTTGTAAAGCTTTGTCCTTTTTTCAGCTCTTGCATATTAATCATATTACAGGCATTCCCTATAATCCATAAGGCCAAGCAATAGTAGAGCATAACCATCTTTACTTAAAAATTCAATTACAAAACCAAAAAGGGAGAGTATGGTTACCTCCATAAGCTCAACAGGATCTTGCTACTTTCACTGTAAATGTTTTAAATCCACATGCAGAAACTAAATATACACCTTCAGAACTCCATTAGCAAAAGGACAGATCTTCAGATGCACCTAGAGCACGAGTTTTAAGGAAAATGTCCAAACAGGAAAATGGAATGGCCCAATGCAACTAATAACATGGGGACAAGGGTATGCTTATGTATTGACAGATAATGGAACTCCATTGTGGGTACCATCACTGATTGTGTGACCATGGAGAGAGGAACAGCCCAGCCCCATGGTAGAGCCTGTTAATCCAGCCCACCAATGCAAGCATTCTCATAGATGACCCTGGAGGAGATGCTCCGGCTGATGGCTCAGCCACTAATGACTATGTAGGTAGCAAAACTCATAGCATGGGGACAAATGAAAAAGACAACCCTGAAAGCTGAAAAGCTGCTGGCAATACAGGGCTTCCTGTATACTCCAGAAAATATATTTGTTACCATGATGGCTGTCATTACCTGTGCTGTATGTATAAGCCCAGTGTCTGGGAAAGAGTATTGGGCATATGTGCCTAAGCCCCCTGTGTAAGAACCCTTTACATGGGCTGATTTTCCCACAGAAACAATCATGATCAATTAGACTGGGCTCTCTTTATGGACCCTAGGTTTATGGATTCTAATACTACCTTAAATTATACATTACGTTTTCTATATCCATCTTTATGCACTAAGCCTCAATCCTTAAAATCTAATTACAGCCTGCTTCCTTACCTGGATGTCTGGATGGCCCATTGTAGAAAACAATTCATATTTTTGGAAATAGGATCTATTAACATTACAGGGGAAAGGACTAACTTTTCTTCATCCAATGTCCCTCCTTGTCCACAATATACATCTTGGAATGAACATCATGAGGGCACACCCCTACCTTAGGCCTTATGTATAGGAGACAGGGGGCAGAAAATGTATCTAAACAAATATGAATACACTGACTGGGGCCCTTGTGGAAAATTAGAGGGAAGGGATAATAACTGTTCAGCTGGCATTAGGCCTGTTGGCACTGGGTCACCACCTATTATGGAAGAAACACCTCTGCTATGTACTAATTGCCTGAGGAACAACTGGCATAGCACAGCTCCAGTTTTAACTCCCTGTTTCCACAGGCCATTATCAATGACAGGCCTGGGACCCTTCGGAGGATGTTTTGGAAATTAGTCCTTCCTTGTTATATTGGAAAAGCAATGGAAAAGGAACATAACCAAATTCTCTGCAAATATTTCCTTCATCCAAATTTGGAAAAACAAAATCACATGGTTTTCTATATGCACATATAACTCTTTTGTTTTCCTGTATAGAACTGTTGGATAGAATCTCATATGTAGAGAATGTATGTTGAGCCATTGTGTATCAAATGGAACCCTAGTAAATAAGAACTTATTGGTTCTAGGGTGCATGCCTAGAGTCTAGGTGACCATGAACCTTATAGAACCACAGGCCAATACTCCCACTATTCACTTACTACAATCATTAATTGACCATCTTGTGGATAGGACAAAAAGAATATTAGGACTGATTAATGCTGGAATTGCTAATTTCTAGAGTTACTGTATCCTCTGTAGCTCTTGCTCACTCTATACAGACTGCTTATTTTGTAGATTATTGGACCAGAACTGTAGATAAGGCCTGGAATATACAGTATTCTTAATGAAAAATTACAATCATAAATTAATGTCTTAGAAACTACTCTTATGTGGAGGAGGGATCAGATAAAAAGCCTCCAGTTATAGCAAGGCCTTTGGTGTCATTTTAATACTACTTGGTAGGGCTAGGGATTTAGCTCAGTGGTTCTGCCACCTGCCTCACAACGTGCAAGGTTCTGAGTTTGATCCCTGATACCAAATAATAATAATAATAATAATAATAAATACTACTTAGCATTGTATATCTCCTCTCATGTATAATCAATCCACCCATCCTTTGGAACACATCAAAAAGCACATTCAAGGTGCTATTAATAATAATAATAATAATAATAATAATAACTATAGATTTGGAAGTCTTAAGAAAAGAAGTATTATTTGTGTCTCAAAAAACTCAAAATTTTGATGAACAAATTCAGGATTGGAATAAATTTGCTAACACTCTTGATCAACTTAATCCATGGAATTATCTCAAGGCCCATTTTGGATTTTATACTGGATTAGCTGTACTAACATGTATGTTTCTCTTGTTTTGCTCCTGGTCTGTCACAGGGGAAACAAAACCCAACAACACCTATATGCTCTACATCCTCAAGTCATATTGTTTCAACTTCTGCAATTACAGAAACAAAAAGGGGGAACTGTTAGAAGACCAGGCTATGTGAGGAATTATTGGGGGCCAGATTGTGTCCCTTGGTCCCAAGGCTGATGTGATCTACCTTGGGAAACAGAAAAGAATATGAAAAGCTGTGTACTTTCTGGCTGTGTGTGGGAATGCTAATAATCACAGTTCTCCCACGGAAGTATAACATCTACTGAGGACAATGTAAAGAATGCTAGTTCCTTATTAACTTGGGCAGGCATTTGGGTATAGGGAAAAACCTGTTGCCTTTCACACACATCCCTAGTAAAAGGTTAATCTGTTCCCTATTTTTTCAAAATATCTTTTCAACTGTTATTGTTCTACAAATGCCACACACTGCTACTGTTCTACAAATGATGAATGGCCCACTTTCTCCTATGCTTCTTGGTGGCTAACAAAAATGAGTCAACTGTGGAGATTGTTGAGTCTGTCCACTGAAGCCAAGCTTCACTTGGTCTCCTTGCACCTTGAATATTATCTCTTTTCTCTTTATTCCTCATCATTGCCCCCTCACAGGTATCTGGTACGATCAGCCCCCGGGAATTCATGAATGACAGAGCAAGTGGGTTTGAACTGAGGTAAGGTATTGTGAGGGAGATTAATGGCAATGTGTCTTTTACAGTAATAATTTTTAATTTTAAATTCACCACAATTTTGATCACATTTCATGAGTATTATTATAGTCAGAATCTTTTTTGATTCCTACAGATTTAACTAAGCAATGATTTATTTTAGCAGATTCTGAAGCATTTTGAAATTTTTTTTTTTACAAATAATTGAAAGAAAACACTTTTATTTTCAAAACCATTCTACATAACAATGAAATTTGGTGGGAAATGTGGGTGGTTGTTTACCTGGGTGTGCCACTAAACTCTGGTGAAGGGCTCTTTTCACTCCAGCTCTCATAAAGAGATTTGCCTTCAAAGCCTTCATCAGGGCTTTGTAGCTGCACACATCAAAAGGAAGCAAAGAGAGTACTTACAGATCAGATGAATTAAAACTTAAGCGTCCACTAAACAGGTAGAGAACAGCTAAGCTAGAGTTCAAGCAAGACAACAGGATGTGATCTCTACACCAGCTATCAATTAAGAATTATGTGGCTCAGCAGTAGAGCTCTTGCCCCACATAGGTTGCAAGGCCCTGGGCTCCATTTCCAGCATCAGGAAAAAAATTAGAAAAAAAAGAAGGCACAAAATTATTACCAAACCAAGGTCTTTAGATATGTTGGTCATATTTATGATTTTGTGTGTGGAGTTTTCTAAACTGAAGGATATTCCTTTTACAGACATATTTCTGCTTTGCATAAAAAATAAAAGAAAAGAAGCAAGCTAGTAAAGGCAAAATATTCCTTTTACTACTGCTTCTTGTCAATAACATTGTCAAATTCCTTAAATAATACATAATAAAATACATTGTAATTAATATTTTACTTAATCAAGCAGTTATCCGTTATAATTATGTTACCTACTTAGCTTTAAATTCATTTTATGAAGGCTATACTTTCAGGGTTCATTTCCATAGTTTGTTACTAGAGAATTTTCTCTGATTGTGTAAAAAAAAAAAATTCACTTTATGGTTTTATAGATAGAATACCAAGGAAATACGATAACTGATTATTGAATTCTAGACTCAGAGTATTACGTATACCACAAATACTAGCATAATTAAACAATGTTCCATAATTACATTTAAGTAATTAAGTGATGCATGCTATGAAATATTTTTATGAAATAAATATGATACAAAAATTTAATAAAACTCAAATGTACTATGTTTGATCAAATTCAATTAAAAAAGTTCAAAGTACCTACACTATTTAAGATTTTTTGTAGATGCCAGGGACACAGAGTCCATTAGTGAGACACATATGATGCTCTTTGCATGGGAACCTTCAGCAAAAAATGTGGAAACCAGTGTGCTATGTGCTATAACAGGTGCAACTGCAAAGATTTACAGGGAGATAAATTAAATTTGCAGAGCAGGAAGAGAGTTGGAAGTTGGAACTTATGTCATTTCCCTAGCTTGTAAAATCTGCATAAAGAAAGAAACAATTACTTAACTCGAGTTTATACATTCACAAATATTTGCTATCAGGGACAGTATACTCTAGTGAGAAATATATTGTTGAAATATTGTCAAATATGTATTACTAAATTGTCAATTTACCAGCCAAATTTGAAATATTGCAAATCATTTTTCTCAAACAAAACAAAAATGAAACAAAACAAAAATTTTCAAGCATAACATATTTCAAGTCTAACCTAGAGACCAAAGCTTTGCCAATTTTAACAGGATGCTACCAAGTCAGCTAGTAAACAAAATAATTTCCAAGCTTCCTTGGCATTTATTTTAAATTACCTGAATAGTGAGAATTCTCTGAAATAGCATGGTTTCACATAAATTATGTTATATAATATTTCATAAAATTGCAGGAAAATGATGGATCACTTAGTAACTAGGTAAATAGATGTTTTCAAATTAATTAAATTATTCCATTCCAAATGAGAAAATGTGATTAAATTCCATGCTTTTGAAACCAAAGCTTAATGACATGTAAGTTTTCTTTATAATCCTTCTCTAAAGGACTATAATTGTGTTCTTGAAAATTACACTTTAATTTGTAGTTCTAATCAAAAAACAGGTTTTCTGCTATTGTTTTTCTTTATAGTTCACATAATTAGCGGTAAAAAAAAAAGTGACATACAAAAACTCCTTAGATTTGGCTAATTTGGACCAGGACCAATGGAGTTATAGAGTATGAAGAACTAATGTAAAGAGGTGCTGTCCTATAGGAATTGATGTCTCACCTCTCAGCCAGGTTCAGTACCTTCTGGTGCTGTGAGAATCAAAGTTAATGATGAACTGTGAAGCCAGCCTCCGTGGGGCTGGAGGACTGAAGTCCAAGGCATAAGTTTAGAAAGGAACTAAAAGGTCTCACTTGAATTCTGCCCCAAAGTAATTTGCTGTTTTTGTTAGTCAGCTTTCTTATAGCTGGGCTGAAATAGCTGTCACCCACAACTTTAAGGAGGAGAAGTTTATTCTGGCTCACATTATCAGAGGTTTAAGTGCCTGTCAACTGGCTCCAAGGCAGGAACATCATGGTGGAAGGGTGCGGTGGAGCATAGCTGCTCAGTTCATGGAGGCCAGGAAGCAGGGTACAGAGGAAGAGGTCCAGTGAGAGAAAGCCTTCCAAGGGCACACCCCCCAGTGTCCCATCTCAGACTGGACCTCACCTCCTGGCTGCACATTCAGTTATGAACACCAGTGGATTGATCCACTCATGAGTGTAGTGCCCCGTGATCCAGTCACCTCTCCAGGATCTCTTGATTCAGCCAAATTGGCAATTAAGATGAAGTGGCAGTGTTTTTATGCATACTCTCATTTAGATCATTTGTATATTTTTGTGCCCTGAATTATTAGGTATCAAGGAGTATTATCCAGTTATGAAACTAAGGAGTTAGACCATAGGACCAAAAATTGGTTCAGCTACAGAATAAGTTGTGTGACTTTGGTGGCTGATGTTTTTTGGGCTTGGTATCCTCGTTTTCAAATGGGAGATGGTAGATGTAACACTACCCGAAGGCTGCCTCACAGTGTAGGAAGAGAGGAAGCAGTGTCTGTAAATCGTCTGAGGTGGGTTCTGTGGATATTTGTTATATGGAAAAAGACAAGATCTAAAGAACATCAATGTTTAAAAAATAATGACATCTCAAAAAGCATCACTTTTAGAAGACAGATTTTCTTAAATATAATTGTTTTTACCTCTTTTGTTAGATTGTATACCAAGCTGTACATCAGAGGTGTACAATCAACCCTTAGAGTGTAGTTTCCTGAAAGATAAGGAAAAAATAGATAATTTTTATTGCATTTCTCTGTTATGTTTTGTTATTCTAAGACCAGTGCTAACTCTCAGGGCAAAATGATCCTTTAAAACCTAAATTTAATTAAACCCTCAAAGTGTTCTCACCTCACTCTGTAAAAACCATGATCTTCATCATGGTCTACTGTGTCATATGGGAAACAACCACTTCATCTCTCCAAAGCTTTATTTCCCATTCTGCCTAAGAACACTTCCTTGAGATCTTTGCACACAGTTTCTTCATCTTGCATAACTTACTGCTTCTTTGGTCTCATGTTGGCTGAGATGTTTCCCCTGACCAGCCTACATGAAACGGCACACTTTCTCTACTCCTTATCCAGGATACTTCCTTATTCCATTATCCTTGGTGTTTTTTTTCTCCACACTACTCATCTATCTAATGTATTAAATACTTGTCTTCTTGTTATTCACCCTCCCGAAAAACTAAAAGTTCCATGGAGCGGGTGCTTTTTTTTTGCTGCCATCTCCCTCCCATGTTTACAACAGTCTCAGCATTTAGCATTTACCCAGTAAATACATTAAGTCCTTGATTTACAGATGAGTTCCATTCTAGGAGAACGTTCCTAAATTGGATTCCTTCATAAGTATGACAAAAGGAGTTTTATACAACTTTGACACAAATATACAATGTAAAGCATGAAAAAACTAAATGCACACACATACAGTAAAACCCCAATTGTACTGTACTTTGTACACTGTCACACTGGACAGTAAGCACACAGGAGCACAACTGTGACAATGTCTGGCAGATGCGTCTACCTTATAAATGTCTGGCATCTATGAGGGTTTGCAACTCGAGGTCCATTCGTATGTGTGGAAGGGGGCTTAGTGTATCTGTTGTGACAATAAATGTGTGAGCCACCTGCTCTCTAGCTGGTTCGGAAGGGAGAGCAGAGTGGGGAGAGGGCAGCCCCACTGCTCAGGAGGGCAGGGATGGAGGGGGCAGGGTCAGAGAAGCATCCTTGGAGCCCTGCAGTCTGTGGAGGTATGCAGGGGAAGGGCAGCTGCATCTGCAGGGTCTTAGGTCATGTGACACCTCAGTTTCCTAGAACCACAAGGTTGTGGTAGCTGGGCCAAAAAGAAATGATGTTCCCAACTAAGGACACAGCCTCTACATCAATGCCCAGAAATGCACAAGCACATGCCTCACTCCGAGAATGGAAGTGGCTTTATCCAAAGCTTTCTACCATATCTGGAAAGAGCAAAAGATAAGGCTTTAAAAATAATTAGTGACAACCCAGCAGATTTACAGAACTTGAAAAGTTGATTTTCAAATTCCAAAATTCACCTGGAAAAATAGATACACAAATAGCCAAAGCTGTTTTTAAATGCAGAAGTGCTCTTATAAGAGAAGGCAGGGGAGAAAGGGAAGGGGAAGGAGATATAAAAAAGAATTAAAATGTACATGTGCCACCTTCTCATGGTGAATGCAATCTCTGTGTTTTATAAACATGTACTAATAAAAAATGACAGAATAAAATTGTTTTCAAGAGTGTAAACTGGAAAGGGGGTTAGATTGGCAGTATTTACTACAATTTAAGTGTACATATCCTAGGATCAAATAATTACAGCTCTCTACCCTCTGCTTACCTTATAGACTAAGACATTAAGACATGCAAATAAAAAGATATTTTCTGAAAAATCTGAAATACTCAAAGAATTAATACATACTTGGTCTACAGAATATATGCAGAAGTTCTTTTACTGATTTGTTTTATTTTTGTTTTCATTTTGGTTTGCTGTTTTCCTTTCTCTCTCTCTCTCTCTCTGTGTCTCTCTCTCTCTGTCTCTCTCTTTAGTACTAGGACTTGAAACCAGTGAGCACTGAGGTAATCTCAGTCCTTTTACGGTTTTTATGTTGAGACAGGATCCACTAATTTGCTCGGCTAGACTCAAATTTGCCATCCTTCTGCCTCAGCCTTCTGAGTAGCTGGGATGACAGCTGTGTGCATTGTGCCCAGCTTGTTTTGCTTGGCAAGTGAAGTAGATTAGCAGGTACGGGGGCATGGACAGTATTCTACAATAGGTCTGCAACACACCACTGAAGCTCAAAAAGAAGCTGTGTAAACATTTAGCTATGACATGAGACCAGACAGCCAAATGAGGAGTAACAGGCAATGGCAGGTAGAAGTTAGAAGGACAGAGTTGAAGCAGACTAGTTTTGAGTAAAAGCTAAACCCTTGCTAGCTGTGTGGCCTTGGGAAAGTTGCTTAATCTCTCTGAGTCTATTTCCTTTTCTATACAATGCAGATGATAGAAGCACTTAACCTCACAGGGTGACTGTGAGTGTTAAATAACATTTAACAGGTAAAACACTAAAGAGGGCAACTTCTGTACTGCTGGTACCCTGTGTGAGCTACACTGTGTGTCCTAATTTCAACATGAGGAAACACCACTAGCTGAGAGCCACAGTAGGACTTATTTTGCTTTGCAGAGGGGATTAAGAATGGTTTATGCAGGGAGTATTTACTTGTAAATTTTTTTTTTTTGGTTCTGGGGATCGAACTCAGGATGTCATGCTTTCGAGGTAGGTGCAGGGCCACTGAGCTAAATCCCTGGCCCACATGTAAATTTTTAATGTAATAAATTCAAGAAAAAATTGTATACTGTGTGGAAAAATGATTATTTAACAATTTTTAAAATATAAAAGAAAGTGAAGCAAATGGTGTCCCAATCATGTGGTAGGTTGCATTTTCTTTGTTTTTGACCTCGAAAGTTATGAGGACACAATTTTGGGATATGACGTAAGAAGGTAACTCAGGGATAGTTAAAGCTGCATGAAAAGTCAAGACCTTAAAACTAGCAGTACTGAGAATATTATTCCTCTTTATTTCTAGAATACACGTTCAGAGAATTATGCTGTAGGGCAGTGATGGAGAGCCCTCTACAGATGGAGTGCCCAACCTGCAAGCCAAGCACATCTATTTATTGTGAAGTGCAGCACCGCAATGAAAGCTGAACACTGAGGTTTTAGTTTAGAAGAAAAAACTCATACAACTCGTGACATCAGCACAGAGAGGGCTCTGCATGTCCACTGCAGCGCATGCCACGAGTTCGCCACAGAGCTGGGGGGCATTCAGTTTAAGTAGGAGTAATAATAACAATGAAAATGAACACTTTAGAACATTTACTCTGCATAAGGGTAAGGAAAGGGAGCTTTGCAAATGCGAACTGTCCTTACCTCTCAGTCTTTGAAACAGGTGCTCTTAGTAATTCTGGAGGTGAGAAAAGTCACACACGTAGGAAACAGCAGGGCCAGGAGTAAACGCAGGCAGGGTCGCCTGAAGGGCTGAGACATCAGCCACCAATCTAACATAAGTTCTCCCTAAGGAGAACTGAGATGTGCTGGGTAAACTAACTTTCAGGACAACATAGCTCAGACTGGGACAAAGAAGAAAATGTGAATACTGGGCTGACTCCAAATTTACACTAGTAAGTTTACACGAATACATTCCTAATACTCTAAAGGAAATACTCTTAACATCCTAACCTCATTCATTATCCATTTGTTAATGGCATCCAGGCCATAGACAGTTATTTAGTGACATATTAATAATCCAGGAGTAGACAAAGCAACACACTGCTTGTTCCTTGATGAAGAACACAGTTTAACAAGGAAGGCCGTTTGTAAAGCAAATACTGATTTGATACCTGCAGTGATGAGTGCTACAAAGTTACAGCTTTGCTGCATGGTAGAATTTCAAGGAAGGTAAGAATCGCACTGGAGGAGTGTACACAGGGCAGTCTGAGTGTAGAGAATGGCAGCTGCAACTCCTAGAGGGCTGCACTGCACCAAGGAACAGAAGAGAGCTGTAGGGCTGGTGCAGTGACAAAGGACTGTTATGTTTCAGTGCAAATCAACCCCACATTCTGCTCCTCTGACCTTCTGCTTCCTCAAGGCGTATTCATTCCCCAAGATCCTTCCCTTGCCTTCAGTCTAGCCTGGAGCTGCTCTTATTCTCTCCTCTGAAATCCAGAGCAGCTTGATTAAATCCCTCTGCAATGCCTGCATAGACTGTACTCCAAGACTGATTTATTTTACCATCTGTGCTGAAGCATAAACTCCAAATTCCAGACCAATCCTTGCTAACCGCTGACTCTCCTGAACTCCTGGAAAGTTACATCGCCTAGGAGATGGACTCGGAGACCATTGGTTAAACTAAAGAAAAGCGTAAAAGCATTTGGTGAAAGGGAAAATTATTGGAACCAGTATTTTTACAAAATTTTTATGCATGATATCAGGATGAGAGAGGGTTAAATTTATTTTTTTTAATTGTTTTGAGACAGGGTTAAATTTAAAGGATACTTTCTAAATATTCCATTCTAAATGACAAAACTTTTTTAAGTTCATGACTTACTCATTCAACAGGTAAAGTAAACCAAGGAAAAGCTGTTTTCCTGAACCAGCTTTCTACAGGGAAAAGCGAATGGGAAATTTTAAAAAACAAAACCAGAAAAACTCTTCTAGAGCTCACACACAGCTGAGTCAAAGGCAGCAGCAGATTCCCTAACCACAAGTTAAGGGGTTACTGCCTCTGTGAGGACCTGGTTTACTAATGAAACTGCTGCTTCTAACATGACCATATGTTCATTAAATGAGGCCAATGATATTTACCTTCTATAGAAGAATCCGCATTAATATAGGCCACACCACGCTCTTGAAGGAGCCTGGAATTCTCCTATAAAAGAAAGACAGGAAACTGTAAACATATATTCATGCAGCCCGGCAGAGGCACATCTATGATTGCTGCATGGAGAGTTCTAAATTAAGCTGGCTCAACTGAACCACAAATTTGGCATATAGGATTCACAAGAGAGTTGATTCGAAAAAAATTTCAATGAAAGTAAATAGTGGTAAACAACAACAAAACTTTTGAAACTAACATCTAAATAAAACTATCCACCTGATAGTAAATGGAAAAGGAGTTTTTTAACCACACTGTAGTTTGTCCTTCAAACAATTCGCTCAACCTATGTGAATGCCCTAAGAGAATTCTCAGTGGAAATCTTCCCAGAAGCATATCATTATTTAAGCAGAAAACCTTGCTTGTTTCACAAGGAATAAACTATTTCAAAGGACTGAAAAATGTAGAAAGTTAAAGCCTAAGGACGTGGTCAAGTTCTATTGTAGGACACTGCCACCTACTGGTCATAAGTGATAATTGCACCTTTTAAGAACACTAAACATATAATGTAGCAAGAATTTTTTGGATATCATGTAGATTTTGATTCTCCAAACCATGCAATTTCCTAAGCATTCTGACTGTAAGATTAAAAAATGGGAAAATATATGCAATCCTTAATGATATAAATAATTTAAAAAGAACAAACCACACTCTAAAAATAGGCTCTTCCTGATTCTCACGAGTCTTGTTTGTAAAAGCTTCAGCTAGATCTAGAGGAACACTAACTTTTTTCAAAGAAAATTGAAGTTATATAATATCTGGAGTAATAAGTATATACAGCACGACAGAAAGTTAATGGAATAACTACCAACACCACATTTTCTTACTTTACAGATTATGCTTCTATTACATAAAGCCATGATAAATGCAGATAAAATTACTATTCAAGGGACCTATATACTGTGGTGGGACATTCTACCGCACTTTTAGCATTACTTAATATATAGTAGGTAATTATGATAAAGAAGATACTGTAATTGTAAAAATTAGATCTTACTGTACAAGCTTAAGGGGCATTTGAAGGTGGTTAGTATTTGGAGCAATTTTTCAAAGTGTAATAGACTTATGATAGAAAGCAAGCACGAGCTGTTGTTTGGCTTATAGTATCTAATTATTTACTATCACATTCCCAGAAAATAAAATAACTTTATTTTTAATATTTATTTAAGTTTTATGAGAAAGTCTTGCTATGTAGTGCAGGCTGTCCTTGAACTCACTATGCGCCCAGGATGGTCTTAAACCCATGGTAATCCTCCTGCCTCAGCCTCTTGAGTTTTGGGATTACAGGCACATGCCACCATGCCTGGTAAGATAAATTAATTTTAACAGTTGGCATTATGTCTCTAAAAGAGTTCAAAACCAAACTTAGTTCTTTAGATTAGATAAAGGTTTTTGTTGATTTTTGAACAAGAATATATTGCTTCAAATGTTTTTGAAAAAACTTTGAACAGTTTTTCATTGGATTCACTTATTACTGTTATATGATTGACAATAAGGTCCTAACTTGGTTTTTCTTTTTGGTTTTTACTTGGCACTGTGAAAATTTATGTTGTACAAATTATCGACTAACCTCTGCCCACTCCGTAGAGCCAAGAAGACCATATTCTTCTGCATCCCAGCTTGCAAACAAAATTGTTCTTCTAGGCCTCCATCCTAAAAAGTATGTGTATATATACATATATAAGTAAATGATGGAAAATGCATAATAAACACAAGACATTTTGAAGCCTAAATGTGTGAAAACATTGAAAAATCAAAAACTTCATTTGTTGGCTAGGAAATGTGAATTGTGGTAAAAACCTTAACTGCCATAATTTCTTTCTTTCTTTCTTTCTTTCTTTCTTTCTTTCTTTCTTTCTTTCTTTTTGAGGGGGGGTACTGGGGATCTAACTCAGGTCCTTGTACTTGCAAGGCAGGTGCAGTGCCATTGGGGTAATTGGCCCCATAATTTCTTTTTTGAAAGATGGTAAAGATGATTTGTCAAAAGAAAAAAAACTGCATGGCTGTATTAAACAGAGGGAAATGTAGACATAGGAAAATCTTGCAAGGTCATAAGATATTCTAATAGTAGGTTTATTCTGACTGACTGCATCGGCAGGCACTGCAGCCTACAGCTGCCTGAAGAGAAAGAAGTCGCCAGGTGCCACCAGTGTTGTGATGGCAAAAGCAACTGAGAGAAAACCCTTCAGACCCCTCCCCTGTCCCGATATCACAGGAACAGTTGCTCAGTGGGAACTGGTTGAGTGATTTCACTCTGTTCTTTGACAAAGCTATTCATCGGGGTTTAGTTAGCAATGGCCATGCTTGTGCTATGGAAAACTGAATACTTCAATAGGGAAGTCATGTGACTTGCAAATTGTAAACACTGGCCTTGGAGTTAAAGAAAGATTTGGCGCTCTCACCTAATAGCAGTGTGAGAGAGGGAACTTATGCAGACTGACAGAGTCTCTTTCCTCACCAGTACAGGAGGAGGAACAGAGGGAAGGAGAAGACACGTTTCACTGTTGGGAGGATTCAGTAGAATCATGTCTATAGGGCACTAGTCAGTGCTTCATAATTGTAAGTTGTCATTATGTTAAAAGTCTCTTCAGTGTGTTTATTAAGAATGTTATCCTATAGCTGCTGATCCAGTGTTTTACTTTTGTCAAATTTCTTAATAGTATTATTCAAATTTCCTATATATTATTCCTCATCATTTCATTCATTTAACCTACTCTATAGTTGCCATATTGATGGTTTGCATTTACAACAGGAATTTTCTTGCAAAATTATGAAACTTTTTTAAACAAGATTAAACATTACCTAACTCATGAATATGTAAATTCAGATCTCCAATTCTTTATTTTCTTATAATGTAAGACAGCTTTGTGAGCAAAAATAATGGAGACACTCTACATTTTATTTTAAATAGAAACAACATGTTTTTGTGGCCTGGCAGCTACAAATTTGAGTGTGAAATCTGTTTTTCTCACTCTGCCACACAATATGGGAACTTACATAATGCTGGGCAAATTAATTTTTTGTATCTTGCTTAACTTATCTGTAAAATGAGAATAGAAATAACTATGCAGACCTCTCTCTAGTTGCTACAATTTCAAAATAGTTTACACATACGAACATACCGTTTTTCTAAGAAAATGACTACTGTGCAAACTAAATATATTTTCACTGTTTTTATGGTTGTTCAAAATATATGGTTTACATTTTATAGCCCCACACACCTTGTTTACAGAGTCAGTAAAGAGAATAGATTTTCCCCTCTCACTGTGTAATGATCATTTTAAAAAGCAATCATTTGAACTAAGTTTTTATTTTGGTTTTCATATGGAGATTCTAGGATGGCGGAGTCAACAGTGTAGAGAGGATGGAATGTGTGAATATGGACCCCAAACCTGGCACAGAATCCCATGGGCAGCAAGACCAGGATTTTTCTGGAAGAGTTTCTCAGTCCCTCAGCCCATGTGGCCCGAGGAACCTGGTGTGTGGGCTGAGGGGGAGCAACGGCTTTCACCTGAGGGGTTACGTCCCCTTCAGCTTTCTTCTTCTTGGTTGGTCAGAGTAGCTCATTCCTTCCTTTATTTCAGACTGTCACTTAGTATATACATACCAAAATATAAATATTTTATAAGTGAATGAAAAAATAAGTAAACAATGTAATTAACTGACGCTGATGCCTGTGTTGGTATTTTCACCAGACATGGTAATGTTTGAGGTGGTATTTTTAGACCCACTTTACAGAAGACTAAACTGAGACTCAAAAGGAAGTTAGTTCTTTCCTCTTTGTTTCCATTACCTTCCTTTTTCAATGTTCCAAAGCTTCTCACAATTTCATGAACCACAGCTGCTCCACTCTGAGGGTCAATGCCACCGAACACCCACGAGTCTCGGTGACCCCCAAGGATGACATATCTATCTAAAAAGCAACATCTTAAGGTTATTTGTTATTTTGGGTTAACCATCTAACAAATTGAAAATGATTCAATAGCATCTCAACATAGGGCACTCAGAACTTTAAAAAAACAGCCAGGTTCCAAGAGGCTTGTGCAAACTTCTCATTTGCTTCTGCTGGGGGCATGCTTCCTCCACCTGAAGAAAGTATGAATGTCAGAAAGGAAAATTATACTTCAGGACTAAGTGCAGGAGTAACTGCAGGAACGTATGAAATGACCCTGACCTGCCTCTTCATGTAGTTTCCCTTTTCTCTCTCACCCCACCACACTGTTTCCAACGGTTTCAGAGTAAGAGAACGCAGTTCACTTTCTACTCTGATTTGATTTTCAAGGTACAGCTCAAAAACTTTCCCTCTCTTTGAACTTTTTTCTATTTCCCATAGGAAGGGAGAATGGTTCTGCCTGCCCAGCTCTCAGATTTTTCCACATCTTTTCACATGTAAGTGGGGTATATTCCCAGACTGTGAGCTCTCTGTCCCTTTGTCCCAGTCTTCTTAAAATCCCAACACATCCAGTGTTGGGCACAAACGATCCTGTATCAGTAACCATACATGTCTGGTTACATATTGCTTGGCAGCCACCATAAGGATACCAATATCCTTGATCCTTAAATGAAAGTGTGTGCTATAAGAAACAGGCAATTTAATTATATCTGATTTTGGAAGACATATAAAACCAACTACTTCTTAAGGAACTGAAACATAATGAACTAAGACTACATATAAAGTGTATTAATTAGCACATCATCTGAAATCACATGAAAATCATGTGTCTATACAATATTAATGGATTTAGTGTGTAAAATAAAACTATATAAAGAATTCCTTAATTCAAGTTTACCCTAATTTTCTGAGTGCTATCTTTTGTACAGGTGTTTATAGTCATCATGAAGATATTTCATTATGCAAAATATATGGTAAGCAAATCCAGAAAATTCAGAGAAAATGCCTCAAAACTGTCTCCCGGCCCCTCTTCCCTTGATCTTTCAACTGAAATACACACTGCTATCACTCACCTTGGTCATCTGCCCAGCCCTGCCCAAACATTCACTTTTCTTTTTGGTTTTACATGTGTGACAATACAAGAATACCTTATATATATATCTATTTTGTGCTTAGGTCGATTTGTTAGAGCAAAGATTGGCTTTTCTTTGTTCGCTTTACACTGCAGAGCTTAGAGCAGGACATGGCACATGCGAGTTGCTCAATCAATATTCGCTAAGCACATAATTCACTCACCTGGTTCCACTGCTCCTCTGAGGGTCCCAATCACATTGTAAATTCTGGTCACTTTACTGTTGGAATGGATGTGCATCCTGACCTTCCTAATGCAAAAATAAGGGACACAGTCTTAAACATATTGGCTAAGAGATTAACAACACAAATTTTGAAATCTTTCATCGTTTAAAAACTTTCTAATTGTACAAAAGCAAAACTTACATTGGCCATTTTAATGACCTAAAATGATTGCTCTCTTCAATTTCTGGTTCTGTTTCCTGCTGGTACTAGGGAAATTTTACATTTTTTGTCATTCTCTATAGTTTTATTTTTTTTTAAAGATTTCACATAGGAGAATTAAAATTAAAAGAGTCTCTTAACTGTGTAGAAAAGTTCCCAGTAAAGCCAGGTCCCACATTGTATGGTACTTTGAGACTTCCTTTCCAGCTGCTATCTGGTGGTGCTGAGCCGCCCATGTGTCTGTTGAACACAAAAACTGTTATTAGCTGAAGAAGCACTTACATGTAACAAATTAAAATATCAATTAATTTACTTCCTTGAGCATCTGCTTATAACAGCTTCTATGAGTGATGGACAGTGCAAAGAGCTTTAGATATGCCTTTTAATCCTTACTAAACCTCTTGATAGGGTCTATTATTACTCCCCTCTTACAGATGAGCAACATGAGGCTACGAATGATTAGGTAACACCCCTAAAGTCATGCATCTGGTAAGTGGCATCGCTTAGATTCAAGACCTGAATTGGCAAGAATTTGAACTCTGTATTACCAGTGTCCAATAATAAATTATGTTAAAAGTGCTGTGCAGAGCATGCTCTAAAGAAAGAGCTCAATGTCTGCACTACTTTGGAATTTTCCATTTTGTCATTTCTCCCACTGATAACCATATTCTCAAATCTGTACGTGGCCAACCTTTATAAAGTACTTTCTCACACATGTGCTAGGAAGAGAAGAGCAAAGGAAAGGACTTCGATTCAACTAACAACTGCTTAAAGCTTCGTTATTTTCTTCTAAATTTGAAAATGTTGACTCAGGTGATCAGCTGCTATACATCACTGGCCCCCAGTAATGTCTTAGCAGGCAACTAAGAAACATAACATGAAAGGTTTGCCATGGAGGGATAGAGTTCTTGTTATCTCACTTTACCGTGTCTGTCTTCATTGTGTTCAGAACATGGATCAACTAATTCTTGGTTAGGGCATGAACATCCAAACATGCCTTCACTGAACAGCAGCAGACAAATAAATATGGTTCCAGACAAACTTAGGAAACTAACTGAAGGTTCAAAGTGAATAATTTCTACCTTAACTACATTTAATTGCTGATGAAAGCCCAGCTGTAAGGCAGACACAGACTCGTTTGGGCCTGTGGAGCCCTTTCATTGCCATTATGAATGAATATTCCAAACCTTAAACTCATTTCCATAAATAATGCCTGGACAATGTTATTTGAAACTACACTGAGATGTTTAAATACAAAATGCAGAGTTGAAATATTCAGTGTATCTTTCCTGGCTTTCTCTCGGGTCACAAATCTCTATACTCTATGCTTTGTAGAGGGACATGCTCTACAGTCTCCTGGTTTCTCTTCTCCCTATACACAGGTGCTTGAGGCAATGTGAATAGTTCAGCCTGACCCAGAATAATTAGTCAGTTTACCTTTCCTGGGAAAATAGCTGGACATAATATACTACCTTTAAGAGCTCCCTTGGAGAGTAAATTTGTCCTCTTTTTGTTTTTTCCTGTCTCACTAGTGAGTTTGGCTAAAAATCAGAATTTCAAGTAAATAACTATAAAGTTATTTATTTATTTATAATACATTTTCACATAAAGCATCAAGTATTATTAAAGAGGCATTTTACAGCTAGAAAGTGTAATCCAGTCAAACCATTGAGCATTAAATATTCAAAGTTGTACAAGGCAAGTGAAGAATATATACATATGTGATTACACATAAAATATTTCTGCAATATTATCAGCTAATAAGATTGGTTTCTTTTTTTAATACATAAAATGTAAACTTTTCCTGCAAATCTCTTCAAATTTTAGCTTTGTAAATGCATTTCCTTTTCAAAATGAAACATGAAAAGCAAAATAAATTAATTAGGAAGAATAAGCAACTATGTATTATAAACAAGAAGGGCAATGAGCCATCACTACTGTCACAAAACAATTAAATATAATGCTGAGATTATAATGGTCCCACAAAGAAAGGTAAAGAGGTGATTAGAATACAAATAATAGTTATATGCAATAATCTAATATAAGAATGAAGGAAATAAAACCATGTATGGAAAAATGGAGGTTTTAATCAATAAATGTTACTGAGATAGAAATGTACTTAGGTCCTTCCATCACTCCATCAATTGAAAAAAATGAAGCCAGGCACAGCAGTACACATCTGTAATCTCAGCACTGAGGAAGGCTGAGGCAAGAGGATCATAATTTTGAGTCCTACTTAGGCAACTTAGTGAAATTTTGTCTCAAAATGAAAAATAAAAATGGCTGGAGAAAGAATACAAAGGTTAAGCATCCCAGGTTACAATACCCAGTGATGCAAAAGAAGTAAATAAAAACCATGAAAATTAAAGTGCTGAATATTAAATTATCAAACCCTAAAAAATCAGCTAATATAAATAAAGTTTAGATACATTTCTGACAGGACTTGATAGACTGATGCTCCACAAATATGTATAAACACTATTGGATTTAAAAACCTGTAATTGGCAGCATATTAATTTTGATTTGACCTTGGCAAAGACTTATTGTCTACTATGCCAAGTGGGCTGTGTTCTACTCAACAAGGAATAAAAATATGTACAAGAATTGATATTTTCACCCAAGAGTTTATAAGTCACTCAAGTAGAAGATACATATAAAACCAACAATAATATATGAAAAAGAACATATAGATGACACATAAATTCTACAGAATATGTACTAAGGAGTGCTTAATTCAGCTTGGGATTAGGGACAACTTTCTAATGGAGGTTTATTTTAATTTGGATTTTAAAGGATAAGTAAGACTTGGGCATGGGGAGATGGAGTTGAAATGCATCCCAGGAACAGGGTTTGATGTAAAGAGGTAGGGAGACAGAAAAACATAGAGGAAGTGTCAGCTATGATGACTAACTGATTAGTTACCATGCCTTGAGAGAAAAGCTTAAAAAGGAGTAGAACTGTGCTTCCGGGAAGATGCAGAAATGTGTTTTACTGTTAAGTACAAGTAAAATTCCTGGGGGAGGTTGTACACAAATGACTCTGAAGGTTGGAGAGAAGAAATAAAGCAGTTAGGGATCTCACAACCCAAGGAATGATCCAATGACGAGTTCCTCCTGATGCGCCAAAACCAGAAATGCCAAGTGGCACACACAGAGCACTCTACTCAAATGCATGCAAGTTCCATAGTCTTCTCAAGTATACATGGAACGTATTTCAAGACAGACCATATATTAGGTGGAAAACAAGTATAAATAAACTAAAAAGGTTGAAATCATTAGCTTTTCCAGTAGGCATGCATTCTTTCATTAATCTAGCCACAATAAAATAATTTAGTGACCAACAAATCATAAATGGAAATTTGAAAAATTCGCAAATACATCAAAATCAAACTGACCTCTCAATAACAATAAGTCAAAGGAAAAATCATAAGTGCAATTAAAAATATTCTGAGATGAATGAAAAGGATGACACATCATTAAAAAACACACATTAAAAGCAGTACACAGAAGAAAATGCATTGTTGTAAACATGTATATTTTAAAAAGTAGATCAGTAATCTAAATCAATAATCAATCTAAATCAAAAAATAATAAAAAATCTAATCTAAAAATAAAAAATAAGTATCTAAATAATAAAAATAATCTAAATAAATCAATAAAAGGTAATCAATAATCTTTCACCTTAAGAAATTGGACAAAAAAGAGCAAACTAAACCTATAAAGCACAGGAAGGAAATAATAAAGATTGGAACAGAAACAGTTATATAGAGAACAGAAGAAAAATACAGAAAATCAGTGAAACTAGAGTTATCTTTTTAAAGGTCAACAAAATTGACAAACCACTAATCTGACCATGTTAAAAAGGGGAGATGACTCCAAAGATTAAAAGTACACAAGAAAAGATATTATTATTGACTGTACAGATCCCAGTGTAAAGAGCAAAATAAAAGAAAATAGAAAGGAGGGAGATAGATCTTTCTCAAAGGGGAAGAGGATCCAGAGGGGAGGGAGAGAAAGGGGATGAAGAAAAGGAATAAAGATGAAAAGGGAATAAAGATGTATTATGTACATGTAACAACTCCACACAAGGAATGGAAACATTACGTACTGCAAATTAATAACATGAGAAATAAAGGGGTTTATAACAGAATACTATAAACATTTGCATATTCACAAATTAAATAACCTAGATGAAAAGAATAAATTCCAAAAGAGGCACTAACTATCAAAACTGACAAAAAGAGAAAAAAATAACAAGAGCCTATGACAAATAGAGAGATTGGATAAGGAATAGAAATTTCCTAGAAAGAGTAACTGAGTACTAGATGGCTTCAGTGTTCAGTTGTGGCAAATATTTAAAGGATAAATACCAAGTCTTCACGTATTCTTCCAAGAAATAGAAGAGCAAAATTTCCAAAGTTATTCCCCATAGCAAACAATACCTTGACACCAAAACCAGACAAATCACAAGAAAACTATAGACTCATATCCCTTTTGAACATGGATGCAAAAATTCTCAACATAATACTAGAAACCAGCCTTATTATATTATAAGCAGTGTTACGCCTACTTTCATCCTTTTAAAATATAAATACTTAGACTTCGTTTACTAATATGTTTGGACAAATACATAGTCCATGGCACCCTCAAAGGTGCACCCAGTCTTTTTTTTTTTTTTTTTTGGTACCGGGGATCAAACTCGGGTCCTTGCACTTGCGCAGCAGGCGGCAAAACCACTAAGCTAAATCCCCAGCCCAATTGCACCTAGTCTTGAATCTTAGCTCATTTGGAAGAATAAGAGCCTCAAAACAAAAAAGACCAGGATACTTCCTTAAACTGTCCTCAAAGTGGACATATACTTCCAACTTTCTGAGTATCAGCCCCCTCATCTGTAAACATGAGGGCCTTGCACTGACTAGGTCATAAAATGCTTTCTCATAGATCTAGAAAAATAGGACTAAGAATGCTTTGAACTCAAAGAAGAAAAAGGACAAACTGGACAGATGCTTTCAGAACAGTCTGTTCTCTCCTAAAGGATAGTGGAGAAGGAAGAACATACAGATAGAAGAAAGTAGGGCAGGAAAGAGGAAAATGCGCCCATGCCAGCTTAAACAGTAATGAATGTGTAGAAGTTTTACTATTAAAAGCAGAGAAGGAAGAAGAATAGAAATAAACACAAGGCGGGGGTTTAGCTCAGCGGCATCATGCCTGCCTTGCAAGCACAAGGTCCTGGGTTTGATCCCCGGTACCAAAAAGAAAGAAAGAAAGAAAGAAAGAAAGAAAGAAAGAAAGAAAGAAAGAAAGAAAAACAAAATATGAGTAGCTTTCACATTGTTTTATTCTGAGTCCTTCAAGAAATAGAAAATAAGAGAAATACGTAGATAAGAGATTTATTAGGGAAAAAGCCCGTGAAGGAACTAAGTAGGGAGCTAGAAAGCTATCAATACGCACTGGAGGTCTGATACAGAAGAAAGGGGAAAACAAAGGAAGAAAAGAAGATGGAGCCAGAGTGCACCATCCATTTAAGCAAGGTTGTTGAGGGCTCCACAAGCCAGTCTCACCCCTGAAAAGTCCTGTGGCTCCTGGAATAAGCCTGTCTTAGCATCCTTGCCACACTCAGTCACTGCCTGGGACCATCTACAGGAAGCACAGCTGGGGCACAAAGAGGATGCTGGGTTCCAAAGCACAGTAGCTGGAGAAATTGATCAATTATGCTCCCTGCAGGTGGAGAGGGCTGTCATACACGAGATACCCATCTATTAACTACACTACAGAACTTAATCACTATCCTATAAAATGATGACACAACTACATGTTCCACCTATCTCCAAGAATATCAGTACCCCCTCAAAAAGAAGATAAAAGCACAACATAATGAGAATTCCTCAAACTGTCATCTGTTTGTTTCTTACAAACTTACTCTAGCAGTCTCTGTGCATCATAGTATCCAATTGGATGAACAGGAATATTTGGAAGGCCAACAGCCTCTGCAATTCCATGCCTATAAGCATATTCTGAAAGTAAAATGAACACATTCCCAATTAAAACTCAACATCTTTCAAACAGATAACTGTAAATTACATTAAACACCATTTAATTTTGCTTCTACTTGTATTGGTAAAAAATTCATAATTCCAAATGTTACCAAGAATGTGTAGCAATTAAAATTCTCATATACCCCTCATCAGAGTTTGAAGAGCAACATTAAACTGAAATGTACACTATAGCACACCACAAGAAACAAGAAAACATATATACATAAAAGGATCTTACAAAACTGTTTAAATTGGCCACAATTATATTATCCAACAAATTTCTGACAATAGGACAAGTAACCAATCTATGTGTGGTGCCACAACACAGTGTACTCAACAATTAAAAGGAATAAAGTACTAACATGCGCTAACATGGAAAATCTCATAGTTATGCTGAGAGGCATATTAGGCCCAATAGAACATCTACCATTTATATTTGTGTGAAGTTCAAAGCCAGGAAAACAAATATATGGTGCCATACATAAAAAAGTGGTTGCTTTTAAGAGGTGCATTGAAAATTGACCAGAAAGAGACACAGAAGATCTTTCCAGAGTGATGGAAATGCCATTTTATTTTGAATGACATGAATTTCCAAAATCAACTGCAATTTTCAACTCTCATGCAATTTACAAACTTTATTAAACTGAACTCAAGAATTTGATTTTATTGCATGCAACTTTACTACAAAATAAGTATAGTCTGATATATTTTCCTCTAAATTCTTAAATTATCTAATAATAAATACTTAGGCAATTGCACAAGTTTATTTTTTATGAGTAAAATGATATAATGATATACTGGATGAAACTTTGTCTTCTAATTCTCTAAAGCAGTGGTGGCAAACCTACATATGCCACAGCAGTCTGTCTGTTATTACTGGAAGCTCTAAAATGTTCACCATCCCTGCTCTAGAGTAATACCAAAGAGGAGATGAATAGATGCAATAAAGTAGACAGAATGTTGATAGCTATCTCTACTTTTGTATATGTTAGAACTATTTAGTAATCAAAACTAAAAAATAGAAAAATTTAATGGGCACAAAAGGGAATTCAATAAATGTTAGCCCCATACAATAATATGATTTTCCCCCTAAAATCCTATTATTTAAATATAAAGATAATCAACAAATATTTCAGCTAATCTCATTGTAATTTCACAAGTTTAGCTCTTTATACCCAACCACTTAGAAGTTGCATTTAAAAAAAAATTGGGAATAAAATAGTAGAGTAAATTAAGTTCAGGAAGATTCATATTGTTTTATTCTAGGATAATATGTATTACATGAAAAAGGAAAATAATCCATGACAATCATCTTAGGAGGACTTATAAAGCCAAAAAGACACCTAAGCTTTAGAGGAATTGACAACTTGATAGAGAAACCAGATGAAGAATAAATATGTAAATGCCATAGTTACTCCGACAAACTTTTATCTAAGTTACACAAATTTTGTCTTGAAATACATGATCACATCTATTTGTAAACATCATCAGATAGTTGAGCACATCCAATATGATTTAGTTCCTTTTATTAGTGTTTTGCAAGGTATGATTTCAACACCAGACAAGTATGTGGACCCCCAAGCGACTGCCTGCATTTAATCCCAGCTCTCCATGTGGCAGTGAGGTAATCTTGGGGATCCTGTTTGTTTCTCCTACTCTCACTTTTCTCCCATCAAATAGAGATAATAAGACCCCCACACTCACCCCGGACTTACGGAGTTCTTAATACATGTAGACTGCTGGCATTCAGGAAACACTCCTAGATAGTTACCACTGTTATCTTTATATAGCAACAAAAGCAATATGACTTTTGGGAGGCTGTATATTCTAAATGTGTCATTTAATGAATTTATAGAAGAATTTCTGTTCTCCTATTTCCTATGAACTAGAAAAGCAATCAAACAACAAGCACAAACAAAACCCAAAACTGTGAAAACTATTAATTTAGGTTGAATTTACTTGACAATAAAACCTTCATGTGACAGCAAAATCTGACTTGAGCAGACATGAGTTTTTATATTTCTTACCACCACTGTCAATATTCATACATGGCGCTGCAAACATTTTTATATAGTTGTTTCCTGTATTCTGTCCCATCCCCTTATGTAAGAATTATGAATTATATAGTATATGTACCATTTTACTTTATCTAGAAAAGAAAATCTGAATTTTAAAGCCTGTCAGGCCCAATGGTTCTATAAAATCAGGGATTAAACGATATGAATCAATACTTTAGAAAATTCGAAACTTTTATGTTCCAAAATACAATTTTTTAAAAAGATATCCTTAATCCATTGTGTCATAGGAAATCTAATACAATCACTGGAAAATGCTGCTACATTTTTGTAAAGGTTGAGGCCTGACCACTCACCATTTGCTGGGTAACCTGGTGTGAGAGGGTCCCCTGCCCCATTAAGATTTAAGACATTTCCACGCTGGACACCACCTCCAGGAAGATTCCAACCATCTGGATAGGATGCCACCCCAGGAGCAAAGTAATCAACAGGGTCTGAGTACAGAATGACTCCTTTGGCCCCTGCCAGCTGGGCATTTTTAACCTAGAAAAAAACACAGTGTCCTTTTCATAAACTGTTTGCCTAGATTTGATATCAATTTCCGAACATACACTTAAATGAGTAGCTGAGATTTATCTTCAACCCTTTGTTGTTCTACTTGCAACAAGGGACATATTACAGAGACCTGCCTCTTTCATTTTTTCTAATTCATGTTCTAAAAATGGATCAGCTGTCAGAGCAGCAGATTTGGAAAATTTCTGTGGCAGCTAGTACTTGCTGTTTTCTTCCTCAGGTCTAGAAACACAATAAGCAAGGAGACTCTCAGGTCAGATTCCTATTTGTTCTACAGTTGAGACAGAGTATTTCTGAAATTTCATTTCTCATAAGAGGAAAAAAACCAAATCAAGTGACAGAAACTTCAAAAACAGCTAGGTGAAAATTGGTTTCTTTCATTATTTATATTAACAATACATATTCAAATTTAATTTAGCATATTTTTGGAGATAATATTTAAAACAAAGAAATCAAATGTTAACAAGAAACCCAGTGCACGCTACTTTGTAGCCACAAGAAAAACTGCAGATTTGGAAAAAAAAAAATCTGCTGTGTTCACTGTGGCCTACACCGGCTGAATTCTGGGGACTCAGTTTAAAAGCACTGCCTATAAGCTGCTAAATGTGTTGTCGCTGAAATGTGGGGATTTACAAAATATGAGGGGACCATGGTCCTCAGAAATAACTTTTTATATTGATTGAGAAGAAAAGATGACCTTTACCTTATTTCCTCTGAAAATTTTCCCGTATCTGGCAATCACAATCTTCCCAGAGCAATTAATCTTCATGTCCCGCTCCAGTTTAAAGAAATCTTCAATCCGTGCATAATTAACATATACTAGATCCCCCTGTTGAGATCACGAGTGAGTTAGTGTAAAACAGGTCTCTCTGCAGGAGGCAAGTTTGATATCTTTGAAAGACCATGCAAAAAGGTCAGACAAACATGAACCTAAATAAGAGATTCAAGGGAGAAGTGAGTGTAAATTGAGAAAGCAGGTGATTTAGAGATGTAAGAATTAAATAATAAAATTTTGTTATTTTTTATTTTACAATCTAGCTCTATAAAGACTTTTTTCAGATCATTTTCTTTTCTTTTTTTTCTTTTTCTTTTTTTTTTTTTTTTGGTACCGGGGATCGAACTTGGGACCTTGTGCTTGCAAGGCAGGCATCGGAACCACTGAGCTAAATCCCTGGCCCCATTTTCTTTTTCAGTACATGTGTATAATACATAATGTGTACATTTCTTGTATGGAGTTGGTACATGTACAGAATGCATCTTAATTCCTTTTTTTCATCCCTTTTCCCTTCACTCCCTCCCCCTTCTCATCTCTTGATCCCCTTCTGTTTTTATGCATGCTGTTTTTAATCTTTTATTTAGTACCTATAATGATGCAGAAGCATTCTCCCAGAAAAATGCACATAAACATAAGCACTGCCACATGCAATTGGAAGAGGTCAAGCATCTAGGTAAAGAAGCCCTGATGACAGCTTTATTTTCTTCAGGGTGCTTTTATAAATAGCAGTGTAATTGGGTGTTCACAGCCACTGGGGGAGGAAGAATGATCAGGTTTCCAGGTTTGGATTCTGTCATTAGTAAGATCATGTGCACCTATTAGAACACTTCTGAGTCTCAACATTCTCATTTGTAAAATGACATGCTGGGTTAGATCAGCGATCTTTCATCAATCTGGTTTCTCTAGTCTTTAATTTTGAAAAGTGATGTACGCATCCATATATTTTACACAGACATCTAAATTTTTTCATACTTTTAAGTATCTGCAAAGAATGTAATTTTAGCACACTATAAATATTAACATTTATAGAAGCACATATAATTTTAGAAGCATATAATTTTTACATGTATACAGAGGAATGTGAATACTGTGTGTACCTACGTACTGTTCAACATCATCCATTTAAAGAAATACATGGACACGTTCTTCTCTACTGTCAGAATGCTATCATTTCTTTTTGGCCTTGAACTTGTATTTTGTCTCCCTTCCCTTGCAGCATTTTACTGTAAAATGTATTTGTGATGGGCTCTAGGATACATTGCCCAGCTCCCCCTCAATGAAGGACTTCTTGCTTCAGCTGCAGGGAATCTCTCCATGAGTTGCCTCCAGCTATGAATCCTTTAGGGACTGCCTCAGCTGCAGCCAACTGGCCCAAGGTCATGCCAGTTTTTCAGATGCCAAACATTTAACAACTGATTGAGACGAGCAAATAAGGACCTGGACATCTCAGTCCAATGCAGGACAATTCTGAAGGCTATTCCAGAGCTCTGCTGTCCCTGAGCTGGCACTTCAGTGTGACTTCTTCCCCTGCCTAATCCAGCATCCTTTCCCTCCCTGTCACAGACATAGATTACACAGGAACATTCCTCAATTACCATATAACATACCAAATCCCATTTCAAATTTTATTATATTGAATCTAGGTATACTTGAAAGTCTTCCGTTAATCACTCAAATTTCCTTGGGTATATGTATATAAATAAAACGTTTTAAAATATATTTCCTGTGACAGGCTGTGTGTTAAGAAAATGCTTCAGCAGTATATTATCATTATTATATCAAAATGAATTTAAGGTTCCCTGAATATTTTTATAAGTAATAGATAAGAAAATTTAACTAGAAATCTCTTAATGCAATGAATGGAAACATAAAGCATTTTCTTATAAATCTGTACATGAATGCGTTAATGCTAGAGTAAGACAAGGATCAAAAACAGTCTATACACATTTCTTGTTTCTACATGTAATTTCTGAGAAAACTTGGACAGAAATGAAAAAAGTTTTGTTATGGAATTGTCATTACATGTAGCCAAGTTTCAACCCAAACATCACACGCTGACTTGTCATCCTAGTTATTCTTAACATATCAGCTGGAAACTTAATTGGATTCACCTTTTATTTGCAAAATAAATGCAAAATGTCAGACCAGCTAAAGAATTTTGTGACCCAGCTATTAGAATTATTCACTCTGTCAACATCGAGTACAACATTTCTAATAGTCTCTTTTTTTCTGGAGTCTCAGAGATTCTTACAAGGCAAAGAAATGCTTCATGTGTGCTATAGGATGGAAGGGGAGACATCTTCCATTTCCAAACAAGAGAAAAGGTCACTGTAAATAGGGAGGTAGGGACAAAGTAGCAGCGGGGCCTCATCACAAGCCAATTCTCAATTGCAAGAAGAGTACACTGGGCAACTGATGACCCATAAATGGATTCCCTTAATGGGTCCGAAGCATACCCTTGGGAAGTTTTCATGCTCTCCATGTTGAAGCCCTGTCCCAGATGCTTTCCAATATCTTGTGATTTTATTTTAGTTACAGTTTTCCTTTTTGACTACATTTCGCATAGTGTGCACATAATAAATTTAGACCAAATACTAAAACAGAGTTGTTTCCAAATTGAGACTAAGATTCATTTGCCAAATTTGTTGAAGACTTATTATTATGTGTCACAGTTCCAGGCAGTACAACAAATCCCTGCACTTGAGGAATGTACATCAAGGTGGATGGAGGACAATAAGAAGATAATAAACACTACATTTAATATCTAAGCAAGTTATATATTAAAAGTTGATGAATTCTATAGAAAAACTAAAATTAGTTTAAAGAGAATATGCAAACAATGAAATAGTACTTGAGTTGATGTTAACTTTTTAATTAAGAAGGAAACATTCCAAAAATGAGATTTGAATCTTTGATTCTGTAAAAGAAATTGTTTGTTGTTCAGATATAGGGTCTCTCTATGTAGCCCAGGCTGGCCTTGAACTCACTATGTAGCCCAGGCTGGCCTCCAACTCACAGCAATCTTCTCGTCTCGGCCTCCCATGTGACGGTATTACAGGCTCGTACCATCACACCTGGCAGGAATATTTTTAGCTACTGCATCTTGTCCTAAAAACAATGTAATATTACTGCAGTATTAATGACAACAGTGTAAGTCTGATTTATAATTGTTAGCCCACTCTAGAGTTCCCTCTTTTCCTATATTAACAAAATTGTTAACCAATTAGATTTCAGAAAAAGAGTAAGTTTCCTACTTGAAATTTATCCTGGATGAATACGCTGACTTTTTGATTTCTTTACATCTTACTAAAGTGGCTATCTCTTGATAAACTGACAATCCTCACAAAACAAATATGAAAGAGAAGGGACTAGAAAAGACATTAGTTTGAAAATGACAGTAAACTCTGAAAATGAAAACATGGGATAGATAAGTCCTCTTGGCATTTCTCAAATGTCACTGTTCCTTAGAAAAACGCTTTGTTTGCAGACAATGGCCTTCTTGTAAGAGGCATACTGCACCATTGTTTCATGACTGTGAATAAATACAATCATGTAAAACTGACTTAGAATTTCTCTTGTTTCCTTCAAGCTTCCAACTTCCTGCCCTGTTAATAGAGACAAAACTGGGAGTCAAGAGCCGGTTTTCAAAGCCCCGTCCTGGCATCACCTAGGTAGGCCTTGTTAGACACAAACTCTTAGCCTCCACACAGACTACTGAAACTTAGCAGGCGGAAACCAGAATCTGTGGCTTAAAAATCCTCCAAATTATTATGATACACAGTAAAATCTGAGAACCACTAGATCAGACCATATCATCCCGTCAAAAGCAGAGCCCTGCATATAACACTCCAGAGAAGTCAGACATAGAGTCAAAGATAACTGACAGTGAAATGTTTTACACACATATAGAAATACATTATTTACAAGAGAAGTAGCACTGTACTGGCTGAAAGCATACAAGCCAGCAACCTCATAAGATACTTGAACATAAACAGCGATCCCACATAAAATAATATACAGTGGTACCTTGATTCACGAACTTAAGAATTGTGGAAAGAATTAAGTTCGTGCACTGAGGTACCACTGTACTCCTCTAATCCTGTCATTAATCTGAAACTATTTAAGCATATTTTTTTTTCGGTACCGGGGATCAAACTCGGGTCCTTGCTCTGGCGAGACAGGTGACGGAACCACTGAGCGAAATCCCTGGCTATTTAAGCATACTTGAAAGAAATGTGATAATGATCTCTATGATACTGTCTAATGTTTTAAAGTCTAAAAATTATTTGGTGGATGTTAATTGGTCACTTGGGAAACCTACAAACTAATCTAGATAGAATTTTGCCCTTATAACAACCTGTCTTCCTATCTGGAAGCATAATTCTATATACAGAATCTTTTCAGTGATCCATACACCTCCTAGTGTTTTTCTTTTTCTTTTTAACTTTTTTCTCAATACTGGGATTGAACCCAAGGGCTTCTCATTGAGCTACACCCCTAGCCCACTTTTAATTTTTTTATTTTGGGACAAAGTCTTGCTAAGTTCCCAGGCTGGGCTCTAACTAATGATTCTTCTGCCTCAGCCTCCCAGAGTACTGGGATTACAGGAGTATATTACCATGCCCAGCTGACTGCTCTCCAACAGGCTAGCATCATTTTTAAAGTGTATTTGATTTCATAGCTATTTTAAATAAAATTCCTTCTTTACATATTCTGAAATCATGTATTATTTATCCATATATGTTTATCCAGTCTGATAATATTACTTACATGAAGATTTTTTTATTAATATTTTTGTACATTCTATTTATAGAGATATATCACCGTATCTAATGGAGAGAATTAATGAAAACACCCAAAAGACAAAAATGTATGGAAATAATTGGGCAATATCATGATTAAGGATTTCTTTTCAATAAAAGTCAACAGACACAAAGTGAACAGAGAGCTGAAAAATGACAAGAAGATATTTACAATATCTTAAACCAATATGGAATAAATAATTAAAATATATAAGAAACATAACAGCTCAGAATTTTGACAAGAAAAAACATTTCACAAAATGACAAGCCAGAGTAGTTAATAAATATGTACATTTAGTGATGCATGCCCTCCTTTCTAATCAGAAACATATGAGTTAAAACAATAAAACAATTAAATGGGCAAAAATTCTAAAGTTGTATATTTTGAAGAGCTTATAAACCTTGAGGAAAGAAGAATGCTCATTCGCTGTCAGTGGAGTGTAAACTCCTATAGACTGGATCTTTGGAAATGAAGGGTTCCCTTCACTGTTGAGATAACAGGAATTTAGAGAAAGATGTGTGATCACCCCTAAGAGGACAGAAAGTTAACTGTGGTGTGCACAGAAGATGAAATAACATACAACAGTGGAAACTAATGACCTACTCCAACATAAAGCCACAGATAGATTCTGAAAGTACTGTTGATTGCATATAGTGAGAAATCATGTAAGGTCTAAAGTATAATGGCATTTACATACATTTAAAGTGCATTAAACACACTCACACATATACACCACACACACACACACACACACACACACACTTGTATTATGAAGGACACATACATATTTAAGGACCTAAATACCTGAGCCTAAGTGTATGGGGAAGAGGATTGGAGGAGTCAGATGGAGAATAAGCATAAGACATGGTGACGTCCTTAACACGTGGTGAGCCACCAGTGTGCCGTAACTAGAAGAATGAAGCTAGGTAACATCAACACACCTGAGATCTAAAATATACTCTCTTCATTTCCAACTGTTATACTTCTATTTCACTTCACCTCAATTATGAAATAATTACAATGATGCCAAGCATACTTAATCTACACCAATTTTTTATTTGAGGTACCAGAGATTGAACACAGGGTCTCCCACAAACTAGAGAAGCACCTTACCATTAAGGTACATCCCTAGCTCTTTTTATTTTATTTTGACATGGGGTCTTGCTAAGTTGTCCACACTGGGCTCAAACTTGCAATCCTCTGCCTCCATCTCCCAAGTAGCTGCCCCACATGGCAGGCTTATGTGATAATTTTTAAAGGACAAAAATCTTGATATTGTATTATTAAGTATAATGATAACTGTTCATTTGAAATAAATTTCATATAGCTAACAGAAAATATTCTATTGTTTGTGAGATTTTTATTAAATTAGAAATAAGTTACTCAATTAGACAGTCTGTAGTATTTTGTTAAGGAAGCAGAAACAAACTAATACACTCACCAAAAGCCAAGTACTGTGCAGGAATCTGGAGATTAATTTTAAAATTTCAGATGATACTCATACATAGGATTATTGAGGAAATTACATGCAATTTTCTAGAATGGACAATTGTGTTCTTAATTTACAAATGAAAATAGTATCATTATTCAAGCCCTTTGAAAATTAATCAGTTTTCACAATTATAGTAAAGTATGTAGGATATTCACAAAGCAGAAATTATTTAGCAATAAAATAGAACAAATTACTAATAAGTGTTAAAACATGGAAATTTCACAGATTCTATACTTACTTTAAAAAGCCAGACACAAAAAATAGATGTCATACAATGCCACTTATGTAAGTTTCTAGAATAGGTAAAAATTAATATATAGTGGCAAAAAAAATTAGAATAGTATTTGTTTTGGGGGGTGTGGAGTTGATTAAGAAGGGGCATAAGGGAATATTTGAAACAATGATAGTATTTTATATATTGAGGGGGTTTAAACAGGTACATCCATTTGTCAACAATCAACAAAAGTGTAGGTTTCTGTATCTCAATGTGGTAAATTTTACCTGAAAACAAACACTATGCACACAAAAAAAGGTCAATATTCCTTTTTCTTACTAAGAAGCTCTAGTTTCTTAAGTGTGGGAAAAGGGTGAATTTGAATTCTATAAAGAATCCTCTTCTTACCCTTTAATTATGGCTGCATGTATGAAGGGAGAGGGGCTTCCGCTTGCCATTTTACTTTCCTATACTGCATGCTTACCTCTGGCACTCCTTGTGCAGAGAAGGCGCTGAAAGGTGGTACGATATCTGAGACATTTTCATACCCTGGAGGAGGTGGTTCAAATAATGATGTGTTGAAAATCTAGTGAAAGAAATACCATCATCACAAAGTAAATCAGCTCAATCAAGCAAGGAAAAATGCACACTATCTCTTCTGTCTGTAGAAGGTGAATTAATCCTTCAGTATTCTGATAGCAGATATCAGATACCCAGCACTGTGCTGGAAGTGTGAGGAATGAAGGAGATGAATAAATTTAGACCTGTTCTCAAAATCTATTTAAGGAGACCCAGGTAAAGCAACAAAACAAACAAAAAACAACAACCAGAAAATAACTAAGTACAGTGGAAAGTTTATGAGTAACTGAAAAAGAAGTCCAGAAGAGATAACAATTATAATCTTCCAAAGAGAAGAACTGTGTCTTAAAGGAAGAATTAGCAGTAGATGGGGAGAAGAGCAGCAAACCTCCCTCTCCGATATAGATACAAAGTGTTTCACAGAAGATAGGCAGTAAATTCCCCCAGGAAGTCCCTGAGAGAAGCTGAAAGCACTAGCTTTTGATTTAGTAAACAACAAAACAAAACAAATGCAGTATTGCACAGTAATCACAATCACATAATAGTGCCAAAATTATTCCTTAGGAACAAATTAAATATTAATTTCATCTTAACAAAAAAATTACGTAATTGACAGATCCATATCCAACAGTACCTGGACATACTAAATAACATTTACAATGATTTAAAGAAAACACAAAACAAAATATGTATCTTTTGAAGTGCAGTCTTGAACTGGAAATACAAAAAATTAGGAATACTCAGAATCCAAAAGAAAAAGGAAAAGAAGACATGAAAGGACTCCTGAGAGCTGGCACTGAAGTCTGTGCTGTCACCCGCATGTTGAGTGCCCCTCAAGGGCTGTGTGCTGAAGCCTTGGCTGTATTTGGAGGTGGTGGAACCCTAGGCCTCAGAGATGGGGACCTGAAGGTGGCGCCAGGTGACTGAAGGTGACTGTGCACCCCCAGCCTCTCTGGGTTGGTAGTTGCTTTCTGGGTTGGTACCACACTCCTACATTAGGTACTGGCTCATCGGAGGCCCAGAGCCATGGGATCCCTTCGTAATGGGCTGGAAACTCCAGCTCCATGAGCCAGAAGAAACCTTTTCTTTTGTAAGTTAATTACCTCAGATATTTTGTTATAGTAATAGAAAGCTGACTGGAACACTGTGCTCTGCCACTTGGTTGGATCCATCAAAGCTCTATACCCCATGCAAAGGACAGAGTAATTCAGATAATCTGAAGTCAGTCCAAATAATGGAGTCTAACATTCTCCTGTTAGATTGGTCTTCAAAGAAAAATGTTCTTTGCTCTTAATGACGAAATAAACCTGTTCTACAGAAAGTGATGGCTGAGGGTAGAGGGGGGAGAACCAGAGAATTCATAACCCTACAATTTTCAACTCACTATCTACGTGGAACAAAATGCCTCAAGCTGAAAAATACCTACTTTAAACCAGTACCAGGTTTGTGGTGTCCCTGGGGCCCAGCAAAAATGATCAAGGAGAACTAGCCTTAAACTTAGTCCTTAAAGAACCCTATGAAAGAACTCAGAGCTACAAATCACTAAATACATGCAAAGTTCTATGAAAAGAGTGGAGAGAAAGAACAGAGTAAAATCACATTTATAAAGACAAACATATCATAAACATCACATTGAATTAAAATTTAAATGAAAAATAATGTGTGGGTAAAAAATAGACAAAGCTGGGAAAAACTGAAGTATTTAGGAGATTTGAAGGAATAATACAGCATACAGCACAGAATCACAGCAATAAAAAATACGAAAAAAATATCTGGAGACCAAAAAATGAGACAAAATGAGAAGGGTCAGGATACATGTAGCTTTCTAAAGAAAAAGAAGAGAAAGAATACGGAAGGGCTACACCTGAATATATAATGAATAAAAATATTCCAAAACTGATAAAAATTATGTACTCTTAGATTAAGGAGGCCCAGTAAATTCTGGTCAAAATGAATAATACAAAATCTACCCCTGGTCCATCATAGAAAACAGCAATACTTACTATGGTAATTAACTTTAACTTTTCTTTAAAATTGATAAAGAATCAGACAGAATAAGGACACATTAAGGAAAAGGAGATTTCAGCCAAATAATTTACAAAATCATACAAATATAAAATATTTAAGCCAAAGCCAAATGCTAAACTTTTGTTTTCAGTGAAAAACAGAACATTTATAGTAACTGAGAAACATTAGGATCTAAAACAAATATCTACAATTGTCAAAGGTTGATGTCCTACATACCACACTATCTGATTACAATATACTTTATTTACAAAGTAGACCAAACCAAATGATGAGAACAGTCTTTAAATTCAGGAATTTAAAAAATCTAATAATTTCAGAATCAAAGTAAAAACATGGAAAATATAAGACAACTAGATATTAATGATAATTAAAATATTTCTTATGCAAACTCACGAGATCTAGTTGAAGTATTTCTTGGAGGAAAATTTATAGCCTTAGAATTCATTAGATGAAAGGCTGAACCTCAGTAAGTTTTAAAAAGGGGAAGCTAAAAAGAACAGCAAGGTACATACAAAGATGGTAGGAAAGCCAATTATAAAGTAAAAACAGAATTAATAAAACATAAAGCAAGGATATATAAAAATGATTGCCAAAGACAAATGTTTAATTACCAAAATAACATATCTTTTAAGATTAATGAGGAAAATAACAGCAAAAGCACAAAATATTAATTATAAAATAAAGCATATCTACAGCTACTACAGTTTTTAAAAATTAAGAAAATTTTAGGAATAATCATGGCCATAAATTTGACAAGAGATGAAATGGAAAATGAAATTTTAAAAACATGAAAACTATCAATTGTGGTGGAACCCACTTGTAGTCACAGCACTCAGGAAGCTCATGCAGGAGGATAGAGCCAGGTCCAAGGCCAGTCTGGACTACACAGTGAGACCGTATCTCAAGAAAACAACAAGCAAAAACAAAAAAGAAAGAAAGAAAACTGTCATAAAAACATATCTAAAAATAATTTTATTAACAATAAAGAAACTAAGTTTCTTAACATACATGTTCCACAAAACACAGTGTAAAGGCCAACTAATTTCCCTTGAGTTTGAAAGACTAAAGAAGAAATAAACATAATACTACCTTTTCAGAGATTACTAAAAACAATTCATTCATAAAACAAGCACAATATAGAAATTGTAACATAAATTATAAAAAAGGGACTAGACATGTTATCAATACAAACCAAATATACATGAATATATTACTGTAAACTGAACACTGCTAATATTACAAGTTCCAACAATGTAAGGTTAGATTAACATTACAATATCACTTAATGTTACCAGATCAAGAAAGAAAAATTGCATGCTCATCTCATAACAAAGTGTATTGATAAAATTTGACATAAACCCATAGCAAAAAGTTTTACCAAATTTGGAAAGGAAGTGAATTAAGGAAACTTGATAAACATTATAGGAAATATCAAAATTAGTGGTAAAACATTAACACCCTTTCTTTGAGATCAGGAAAAAGGCTACCAGTTATCGCTACTTCTTTCCAACATTACCTATAGGCCCTGCCCAGTGCAGACTACAGGGGCAGGACTGAAGCTGGGCTGACATGACATTAGACTCAGCACAGTACCAGTTTTCTCCCTCTGGTGAGGCTGATAGGACCTCAAACAAAACCAGATCAACTACAGTCACTATAATCCCTCAAACCTCCAGATTCCTTATATTTTTCTATAATCCAGACAAGGTACAAAACACAAAGTCATCTGAATCATGGGATAAGATTACAAGAAAAACCATGCTAAGGTGCAGTAAAAACACATCTAGAAACAGTTACAGGAGGTGGTGTTTTAAGCAAGGGCGTATATAAGCTAGTTTCACTGGATTTGTGGTAATCTTCAATTTTACAGCACCACTGTGCAACAGTGAATTATTTTTTTAAGGTCAAAGAAATTATTTTCTGGGTGGCATTATCAAAGGTCGGGTATATACCAGTATTAGAGCATTACTCACTTTCCATAATTCTTTAATAGGCCCAAATTATGTATTTTGAGTATAATTAAAACAACTTTGGTTTACAAATTTCTATTTACTTTTTGTCACATAAAAGGGCAATATACAATGGCTGGTCAAAAAACAGAGTGAGTGCTTAAATTTTTAAAAACTTAAAGTACAGTAAAAGATGCATTACGCTTAATCTCCCTCAAAATACTTTTACCCACTTGCTGTGAAAACACTTATACCATTATTCTTGCCTTTTTCTGAAACAGTTCTGGAAGTCCTCTTCTGCAAGTATTTTTAAGAATGTTGCCATGGAATATCATCCAATGGAAAAGTGGGCTTGTAAAAGCATGAGTGTCCTCACTCACCTTATTCACCAGACTTCCGAGTCTGCCACAAAGTCAAAGTTGACATTGAAAGGTAAACGTTTTGAATCAATTCAGCATATTGAGGCAGCAGTGACAGTGCAACTAAAGACTCACATACACACACACATACACAAAACATTACAGAACTGCTTCAGAAAGTGGCATTCTCTATGGTACCTTATTCTCAATAAACAAAGATAAAACAATGTACATTAAGAATAGTGGATTTCTGTAGGTTGTTGTGTTGTGTGCTTGTAATCCCAGCATGCTGGGAAGCTGAGGCAAGAGGATCATATGTTTGAGCTCAGTCTGGAAAATTTAGTGACTTAGCAAGCCTCTACTCAAGAAACAATAAACAATACTCTACTCAAAAACAATAAACGAGCTGGGGCTATAGTTCAGTGTGAAGCCCTCAGCATAAAAACAAAAAACAACAACAAAAAAAGAAAGAATATTGGACTTCTGATAGGGTCCATAGATTACTAAACATATCTGATGCCTGTGTGTGTGGGAATTTGCATAACTGCGTTGTCCAAGAGAGTAGAAGGTATCATAGTTTACATTATAGCTCAGTCTGAATAGTCATAAACAACAAACTACACGGGCAGATGGGAGAGGGTTAAGAGAGCATCAGTAATTCGGACTGAGAGATGAACACAGAGCTGAACTGTCATAATGCCATTAAGGAGAGCCAGAACATGAAATGAGGACAAGGTAACTATGCTATTTAGAGAACAGAAGTAAACATCAAAAGGACCAAGTCATAGCTGAATAGTAACAGCTTGGGAAAAGGGAAAATAGAGCGGAAGCAAGGTACTCTGCAGAACCATGTAATTAAGTAAACAAGTAGTTTATGTTGAAAGAAAATGAACCAATGATGAAATTTAAAATAATTAAGGTCCTTTAGGTAACTAAGAGCATTCAGGAAAATTTCCAAAATAAAACTTCTTCATGATTCATTCTGTATTATGTGACAGGATTGAGAAACTTTATAAATCCATGTAATAGCAAAAATAATGAAATAATAAAAGCAATAGTTTAGTCAAAAATGAAAGGTGAAGAGGAAGCAGAGAAAAAACAAAGCATGTCTGCTGTTTTCCTCATCATAGATAGATAATCCCCGAATTTATCTGATATGTCAGGAGAAAGGTTTAAATATTTCCACCTGCAGTATTTTATGTCTTTAAATAATCTTCTTTTAAAAGTAAACTTGCTTTTAAGGGTCCCTGGTTACTTAACTATATATATAGATATGTCAAGATGTAGCATCACTTATTAATATTATGAAAATGTATGATATACATTGGTATTCCCCAAACTTTATTTTTTTAATTTCTACTTTTTATGGTACATATTTGCAGTACATAATGATCACATTCCTAGTGGGGAGTTGGTACATGTACATTATACAATCTCAGTTCTTTCCTTATCCTCTTCTCCCCTCCCTTTTCCCTTCTTCCATTCTTTGGTCCCATTCCCATATCCAAAATATCTATCTCTCTAGTTCCTATTATCTATCTTTTATTTTGCTATTTATACAAAATATAAGAGAAACCATGTAATACTTAAGCTTGTGTGCCTGATTTACTTCACTTAGGGACTGGGGGTTTAGCTCAGTGATTCCAGCACCTGCCCTGCAAGTGCAAGGTCCTGAGTTTGACTGCCAGCACAAAAAAAAAATTGCAAATGATTTATTTCACTTAATATTATGGTCTCAAGGTGCATCTATTTTCCTACAAATGACTCAACTGACTACAAATCACAATCCTTCTTTATGGCACAGTAATACTCCATTCTGTATAAATACCACAAATGTGGTATCTTTACCTATTCATTTGTTGATGGACACATAGGCCACTTTCAAGATTTAGCTATTACGAGTTGTACTACTACAAACATGGGTATGTATGTATTGCTGTAATTTGATATCTTTAGCCTTTTTGGAAGATAACTAGAAAAGGAATAGCTGGGTTGAATAGAATTTCTAGTTTTAGTTTTTTGAGTAATCTCCATATTGATTTCCACAGTAGTTGCACTAGTTTACACTCCCACCAACAATGGAGAAAGGTTTCTTTTTCCCTGAAGCCTCTCCAACATTTGTTATTATTTGGTGGTAGCCAAATGGTGATTTGTTATTATTTGACAACAGCCATTCTTTCTGGTATAAGATAGAATCTTAGTATTGCTGTAACTCGCATTTCTGTAATGGCTAGAAATGTTGAACATTTTTTTCATGTATTTATTGGCCATTCATACGTTTTCTGAGGAGTGTGTGTTCATTTCAATTTCCTGTTTCAAGACTGGGTCTTTTATTAGGGGGGCTCTAAATTTTTTTGAGTTCTTTATATATTCTAGGTATTAGTCCTTTGTCCAAAGAATAGCTGAAAAAAATTTTCCCAATTTTTAAAAGAATACTTTTATTTGAAAATTTTAAAGTTTCTTTTCTTTTCTTTGTTTTGTTTGTTTGGTTTTGGTTTTTTAGACAGGGCCTCAGTATTTGTTCACCTGGCTGGCTTGAACTTACTCTGCGGCCAATCTGATCTCAAACTCACAATGATCCTCCTGTCTCAACCTCTTCTTGCCATGTGCTGAGAGCTGGGATAACAGGCCTGTGCCACCATGGCCAGCATGAAACTGTTCATGTTTTTGTAAAGTTTAATTGTTAACTACTTTCATTTAAAGTAGCAGTTAATATGGAAAGCTCTAAATCGTATTAGGTAATTTTGCATGGGATTATATCAGTGATTGAAAAACATTAATTATCGAGATGAGACTGATACATTGTCAATAAAATGAGGATAGATGCATATTTTTTTGTTTCTTTTGTGTTTTTTTTTGTACCGGGGATCAAACTCGGGTCCTTGTGCTGATGCATATTTTGAAAATAATTGAATATTCAAAGCATATGACATTTTCAGTTCACTGATTAAGCTGGGAATGTTTGAAACTATATATAATTTAGAAGGTTTAGTAGCAAAAGGCATGAGGGAAGCTTTCTAGATGAAAAGGAACTGTGCTAAATAGATACTGAAGCCCTAAAACCAATTAGGGATGAATAGTTGAGTTACAGTTTATGAGTTTTCACAGAGAACATATATCATGATAAGAAGTATCTCAATTATCTGTAATCTTCTTTTTCTCTTCAATATGTGCCCTTACTTGCATTCAAGAGCATAAATTCTTTAGAGTAAATATCATTCTATAGGCCTTCCCTCAAAACTGCCTTCCAAATGCCGGCATACAAGTTTTTGGCACAGATATGAACACCAGGCCTCAGGAACATAATCACTGATTGCTTTTTTACTTTTTGGCTAAGGTTAAGTAGAAACATAATAATTAAGGACCAATAAAAATCTGCTGGCTGGACCTATACAATGGGTTCCTGGATAGTCTAGCAACTGCTAACCTATGCAGTCTTCAGAGTAAGCCTAACAAAGTATAACCCTATCCATTTTAGTTGCTTGGAAGCTTACATCATAATAAAAAGCTGGAAACAGTAACTATCATCAAGTATTAATTTCTCAGAATCTTACCAATATCACACTCAATGAAAATATCATGAGAGCAATGAGATATTAAGAGTAATGAGGTATTAATTATTATTCATGGGCTCCAATAATATTGATTTCCATTAATATTTTGAGGTGGGATAGGGTATTTTCTTTTTTTTTTTTTTTGGTACCAGGGATCGAACTCGGGTCCTTGCTCTTGCGCAGCAGGCGGCAAAACCACTGAGCTAAATCCCCAGCCCTAAGGATAGGGTATTTTCTTAACAAGCATCGAAAGAACAAAACTGAGGAAAGATCTTTTTTTATCCCTTTTGTTCTTCATCTTACCTCATGTCCACCTTCAGTGATTATTGAGATGTAATTTGGATGCGTCTCATTTGGGTAGGACAACAGGACATCATAATGGGCTAACTCAACAGAATCCAGGCCAAATTCTTTCCACTGGGATTGAATTTGCTTTGCAAGCTGAAAGTTTTGTTCTGTTCCTGCCAAATGCGGTACTCGTGTAAAATTACTGGTGAACAAAAATTAATAGTTAAAAATTAATGTGTAGTCAGCCCTTAATCCAAATCAACAATAAAACAAAAGTTCCCCTTTTATTATATCTATTAGTGCAAGAGGCAGAGGAGGGTTTTCCACAAAGCAAAGAAGTTTAAGTTCAAGGCATCTCACTTCAAGTGTCCCTTCCAAACATCTGGGAGGTGCCATAGCAGATTTTTATGCACAGTTTTAATTCTGTTGAAAATTAATATAGGCAAGAGCATGTCTGTATGACTGCATGCTCACCTATGACACATACACGATATACATCATATATATATATATATAGAATGGGCTTTTCTATAAAATTACAACTTGTCTTCATTAGGGAATCTTTCAATCACTAAAAGGATTTCAAACATTTTTAGACATATGCACTAAGCTACTTTTTTTTTTTTGGTACCAGGGATCAAACTTGGGTCCTTGCACTTGTGCAAAAAAAAAGACGCCATGCTTTGAAATCTAAGCATTCTAATCAATTACATGCAAGTGTTTTTAGTTGCTTTGTAAATATTTTTTAAATTTACTAATTTATCTCTCCTGCTTTACACTATTCAGGAAGTGGGAATAATTTTTAAAATATGCTAAACATGCTCTCCAATTTCAGATTCATCACAGCAGTATCATTATTCCCATTTATAGATGTGGAAATGAAGGCTCAGGAAAGTGAAGTATTCACCCCAAGTTACTTTACTAATTAATGAATAAAGATGGAACTCAAAACTCATTTCTCTCCAACTCTAAAGTCCTTTTTTTTTTTTTAACTAAAATACACTATCTTCCTTGAAAGTTCAAGTCAGCAAATGAAATTCCTCAACCATATCTGGTCAGCTGTCTCTTTCTGTTGTACTCAGCCTAAGAGTAGTTTTGACATTTAAATAAATAAAACAGAAGAATACCATTGTGTGGAATGCAAATATCTGAAATTCAAATTTCAATGAACATAAACAATATCTTATCAGATGTGACATACTTATTTGTTGATCTATTTCTCATTTGTTGATCTTATTTGTTGATTTATTTCTAGGGCTTCTCTGGGGGCTACAATAGCAAAGTCAAATAGTTATGTCAGAGATCAGCTCGTCCACAAAGAGAAAGAGTTTGCTGACTCTTGCTCCTGAATATAAAATATTAGATCCAAAGTTCTCAACCAAATGATAAATGTTCCAAATGAACTGTGCATATAAACTTTCAAGTATATACTTACTATAAGAATTCCTTGATGTTCTCAGCTTTCAACTCATTCAAAAATGCCTTCTTCATGCCATGCTGTGGAACATTATTGGTAGCTTCATTAGAAGACTTTATAAACCACCCTGTAAAATGAATCAAAATACAGAAATAAGATATGAGCACATAGGCAAATCTCATTTTTTCTTATTATTGACTCTAGCACATATAAAATATAAATTATCAATTACCTCTGATTTTCTGAAGTTTAATTTCCCTTTCCTATTTTCACTGAGCAAAGATAATACAGTTTTTTAAATTACAAAAACCAGTGCAACATATTTTAATCCAATTTCAATGATACATGTTGTTATTCTAAGAAATGTTTTATGAGGAAATCAGCATGTATGGTGCTGCTTGTTGAGCGTGGTGGTGCATGCCTGTAATATCAGCATTCAGGAGACTGAGGCAGAAGGATCACTAAAAGTTTGAGGTCAGCATGAACTACACGGCCAGGTTAAGGCCAGCCTGAACCACACAGCAAGGCCATATCTCAAAAAACCCAAATAAATAAATAAATAAGTTTCCACTTATGGAGATAAACAAGATCTTTGGAAAAATAAAGGCAGAAAGGAGATCTACCTTCTTTCCCCACCAATTGCTTGTTTGTGGACTTAGAATATGCATTTGATAAATGTTTATAATGAATTAATTGTGAATACATTTCAAGTTCATAAATTACTTCACAGTATTGGTAAAACTCAGACCTTTAATTTGCTTTGGTTCTTAAACTAAAACTAAATTGCTAAGATTTTGTGTTTCTAGTTGGAATAGGCTTGAGAAGTTGAAGTTCAGAAAGCCACAGTGAAGCTCCAATTTACCCAGCATCTTGGCACAGCATTCAGTGAGCACAGATGAGGCCAGAGGCAACAGAAACCCAGATCATGCAAACAATTAACTTCTGCAGTTTGCTTCTGATCTGAGGGACAGGGGCATTATTACAGGGTCTTCTAGATAAATTATGTGTTCTGGAAATAAAACTGTTACAAACTCAGCACCCAGTCAGCTTTCATGGAGCTTTCCAATTACTCCTCATTATACACAAACACACACATATAATCATGCAGACTGAAATACGTGATTGGACAGGAGGTGTGTATGATTCCACCTGTGTGTCAACTGAAGTACTCAGATGAGATTGTGGGATCAAGTAAGACACCAAGGATGAGATATCTAAACTGAGATCTGAAAAATGAACCTGAAGAAGAGCACAGAGAATTATGGGGCAGGAGAGAGCAGAGAATCCTAAGAAAACATGAAAAAAAAAAGATAAGGAATCTATTCTGCTTCAGCCACAGCAGTGGATCAGGGTGAGAGAAATACCAGGAAGCATTGGATGCCCTTAAGACATACACAGGAGATATGAATACCATGCCAACCTTGCCAAGTCTTAAGTCCCATTTTTCCATTTGATAAAATAAAAACTCAATTTGAAGCATATTCTTTTTTCAGTACTATCTCATTTAAGCCAGTAGCAACCTTAGGTGGTTAATAACCCAGGTGTTAGCTTTTTTTTCTTTGTTTGTTTGTTTTACCAGGGATCCAACTCAGGACCCTGTGCTTGCAGGCAGGCACGGTGCCACTGAGCTAAATCCTCACCCATATGTTAGTTTTGAGGCAGTGTTTGGCTCAAGTCTTTTTAGGATTCTGCAGTCACACCATTATCTAGCAGAAAAATGAATTTAAATTAACCTGACTAATTCAGGCCTTGGTCTTCCGCATCTGTGGGAAGATCCATATTCAAAGCAGTGGATTACCTGGTGCAACCTTAGACGACTGCTGTCACGAACAACTGCTTATCAAGAAGAAATGAAAGGCCAAGAACCTCAAAATGTTTTCAAGAGTGCTGCATGCTATTTCGTTTACTATGCTCAGTAAGTGGTAAATATTATCTTCATCACGAAGAGTGGGAGATTGAGGCTGAGACTCGGTACCCTGTTCAAGAAGTGGTGGAATCAAACTCAGAATCTAAGAGTCTGAGCTTGACTGGGCTGCTCAGGTTATCTTGCGGAGTTTTAACACAAACCCCCTGGTGATAAGGATCAGTTCTGAGCTCTGAGAACAACCCAACCCTCTTCTCAAAAGTGCCTCGGCTCCTCCCAAGGTCAGAAAGTAGCAGAAGCCCCCACTGCAGCAGCGCCCGGAGTTCCACCGCACCCCGAAAGCCGAGCTAAAACTCCCCAGAGAGGTCTGAGCCCCTCCAGGCAGAGCTCCCTGGACGACCTGGTTCCCCACCCCTAGAGATCCAGAGATCGCCCCTCGTCCTTCAGGCTCCAGCCCGGGGAACCTAAGTTCAGTTTCAGTCTTCTTTCTACTCCATAGTCTGCGCGGCTCTGTCCTACGAGCCGCTTGTACACAACTCTAGGGTGCTCGTCCCCGGCGACCCTGTGCCCACCTCGGGGGACGCGGCCTCCCCGCCGCCTCCCCAAAGCCGTCCCGGGGACCCCGCGGCAGGGCCCGCAAGACGCGCCTACCTAAGAGGAAGCCAAGCAGGAGGAGGCCGCACGCCAGCCCCAGCGCCCCGACGCACAGCCAGCGCGGGCGACGCCCGGAGCCCGTGGCCGCGTCGGCTTCACGCAGCGGGTTCCACATCTCCGCGAGACGCGCTCCCTGAGCGCTACCCCCTCGCGGCCGGCTCGCGCCCGCCCTAAAAGTATTTCTAGCTCTCTCTGGACCAATCCGCGCGAGGGGAGTAAACCTCAGCCTTCCGACCCTGCCAAGCTGTGCTCGAGGACAACTAAGGTCTCTCTCAGGAACTTTCAGATCCTCCAAAAACATGACGGCGCGGGGAGAGGAACTCGGCAGACCCAGCAGACTAAATCATCTCTCAAGGCCTTCGTCTGAGCTCCGTAAGCCAATGAAATACTTCAGGGCACCAAGCAGAAACACTGGTGTTCAGTGCCTGTGTTGTTCCGGGTGGCCAGGGAGGGTTGGCATCAGCGTGAGCCACCTGCGACCACCTGTGCTTTCTCTTAATGAGTGCCATTGTTACTTATAAACATCCAGAGTATTACCACTGATTTACAGAACAAAACCATTATAAAAATGAGTAATAGACCCCGCTGCAGACAGGCAGGTCTGCCCACACCTCACCGAGGTCCCCAGTCGCGCGGGCGGAACACAGGCCAAATCAGCCCGCTGCAGACAGGCAGGTCTGTGCACGCCCTACCAAGGTCCTGAGTCGCGCAGAAGACACCGAATCACCCCACTGCAGACAGGCAGCCACCTGATTCCACAGTACAAAGACACAGAGGACAACAGACCACCAGACCAAGGTACTGAGTCCCACTGTTCCTGGCCCAGAGATAGGGGCTTCTGAGCTGTCGTCCCACTGCTCCTAGTCCAGAGGAAGGGGCTTCCTGGTCACCATCCCTCCCGTTGCTCCCAGCCCAGAGGAAAGGGCTTTTGGGCCACCTTCTGTCCCGCTGCTCCTGGCCCAGAGAAAGGGGCTTCTTAGCCACCATCCCACTGCT